CAACACCACTGGGACTAGATTCTCAAACAGCCTTCCATGATGAAATATTAATGAAAGAAAGTTCTAGTCAGAAGTTCAGGCTTGTCTGCTCAGTAATGATATATATATATAGTAGTACAAGCTACAAAAACCTGTAGGTTTCCAACCCCTGCACTGCAATTTTTGTGAGTCAGAATCCTGATCTAATACATCTTCATTTCAAATGTAATTGATTGCTGGACATGTGGTCAAGCTGGAAGTGACCCATGCAATTGCTATTAAGATTTTGTTAATGTTTCCTGTGCTGTGGGATTGAGATTTGTTTATTTCCTATTAAGTTGGAGATACTCTGAAAACAACATTAAATGCCAATATCGAATTTAGCAGGCATGAGCTTTTTCTACAAAGTCACAGAATTTGTGATTTTTATTTCAGTTCTTCAGTTGCCCCCCTCCCCCATAATAAATATTCAGAGATTCTTCCAAAGACCAAGGCTCATTTCTGCTTAAAAATCCAAGATTTTGAATATTCATAATTGAAATCTAGATTTTGTTTTCAAAAATGCCAAGACCATGCATTAAATACATTAAACATAAAAGGAGGTAGAAAATTAAATGAATAGTGCAACTTAATATGTTGGACAATCATCCAGTAATGGTAGACTCATTAACAAGAGTATAATTAAGTTGTGAAGCTCATTAATAAAGTCGTGACAATCTATTCCATTGGGCAATAACTGTAAGAACCCAACTCCTCTCAGAAGGAAATAGATATATAACATCCTTGTCTCTAGAGAGCTGATCCTAATGGGCAAGTCTTGTCTCTGTTGCAGCAATCAATTTTCATTATAATTTTAACAGATAGAGAAAACGAAGTGTCAGGTTTTGCTTGCCACTGTTCTGGATGTTATATTGAGTATTGGCAGCAATTTGTGTCACTGATACTACTATACTGCAACTGTGAAATGGTTTTGTTTCAAAATGTCAGTTGTAATGTTTTGATTTACTTGTTAATGTGAAGCTTACCAGTGCTTGAAATGTAAATTTGTGCTTTTTTTCTGTGATATGCAAGTCTAGTTTTATATTTTCCTTAAAAGCAAAAAATACAATTTATCTCAACAGGGATGTCTTAGTCCTTAATAAGTTATTTAGGGAAGGGCAAGTCATATTTGAAATAATTTACATCCTACATGACATAGTGTCAGCTGAATGTGATTTTTTTATTTTTTTTCTCTAAATTATCTGCACACAGTGAAACAAATACATGCCAGTGCATATGAAGTCATGCCCTTGCATCGCTATGCACATGCAAGCATGACTTCACATACATATGTGAGACTGGATGGAAACCAAGAAATCGGTATAAAGAACAGATGCTAGGCAGAGATTATAAATTACATGTATCCACATCAGTTTTAGGGTGTATTCCCATAGATTTTAGATCGATCTATCCCCGTGGGGAGTCTCACTAGATTACTGTCAGATAATCCGGCTTAAATGTCCGTCCCGCCTACCACAAGCTGTAAGGGGGTAATTAACTTTCGTGCCCGCTCGGCTGACAGCTATTTAGCGTGAACCCCCAGGGAGTTGGGTCGATCTAGTTTGGATCGATCTAATCTCTGGAAATGGGGTCATAGTGTCAGCTGAATGTGATTTTCTTCTTTTTCTTTTTTTTTTTTCCTCTAAATTATCTGCACACAGTGAAACAAATGCATGCCAGTGCATATGAAGTTATGCCCTTGCATCGCTATATGCACATGCAAGCATGACTTCACATACACTTGACGCTGGATGGAAACCAAGAAATCCGTATAAAGAACAGATGCTAGGCAGAGATTATAAATTATCCACATCAGTTTTAGTTTTGGAAGAGAGCTGTGTGTTATAGAATGAAGTGCCTATATTCTAACAAAATACAAATACCATCCAATAAGCAGTATATTTATAAGTACATATTTGAATGTTTTGTGACCTTTTGTTTAGAATAAAAGTGAAAAAGAAAAATCAACACCCTTTGAAAGAAACTTGCAAATTGGTATGTACAGAAAACAATATATAAACAGCTTAAAATGAAACAGAAAAAGTAAGGAGTACACAATTTTGATGTATTATAATTAACTACAGATCTATGTATCCTTAATTTAATTTTCCTTAGGAAATTCTAAAATTTAGGGTCTTGATAAACTGAATCAGAAAATAGTCTGGCGTCTTGTACATGAATTTCTTAATGGAGTAGCCATAGATGATAGCTATATGTATACAGGATATTATAAATTCCTGATAGTATCAGTTATTTTAGAATCATTCAGGGAGAGACTGATTAATTTCAACTGAACTGCTTAAAAAATTGCCCCGTTTGCAACTTCATGATCCAGAAGTAAATGCAACTTGAGGAAGTGGGATGTTTTATCTAAATAGAACTGTGAAAAAGTGCAACCTCGTGTCCTGAGAGTGAGATGTAAAAAAAAAATGGGATAGAATTATGTCAGAACTGCTCTGACATTTCAGGTTCAAGTAAAAAGGGTGTTATTGTTATTGATCTTATTCTCTGACAAAGATCTCGTCAGCATCCCTGCTGGCATCATCTGGGGAATAATGCATAAATTGTAGGCAAAATAGAGGGAAATTGTGATCATGTGTTATTGAACAGTAGGCATGGTCTTGACTATATTTTGTGCCAGAGGAAGTGAATTGCATTACACCCATACTGTTATCCAACTCGGGTTTACATAGTTGCTTCACTGTGTTAGCCTGGTTGCTGCATTGGCTGGCTGAATATTTTATGATAAAGCCACCAAGAAAAAAAAAATGTATAATGTATTTATAGCTATATTTTGCAATTAATAAACTTAATTAATAATTATAGAAGGTTGGGTGACTATCTGATCTTACTAGCATGTGATGTAAATAATATTTGAGTGGTGTTGATAGTTCTCTGACTGTACTGAAAAAGCGATTAAAGTGTTTTTACACACACACACACACACACACACACACACTAATGTTGCCTTTTTTGCACTCTGTTGTGCTAGGTGTTAGTTAAAAACAGTCACACCTGAAACAATGAAAGTGTCTGTTCACTCTGAATAAGAACATTTTACAGTAAGAGTTGTCTTAGTTTAGAAAAGAACAATAAAATAAACAAAATATGTTATGACAAGATTTTGTTTCGAACTGATGTTGTTTCCTATGATTTGTCTAATGATTTTTTTCATGATTTACACTTTTTCCTAATTTTAGATAACAAGATTAAAGGATACCTGGTTACTTCTGCGGCAGAAACACACAAGGAATGCCTTCACCTACGAGAGCAAGCTGAGAACAATCCTTCGCTCTATGGATGAAGCAATGGACAATTTGCCACTTCAAAATGTCAGCATACCGCATATTCTCCCTGTAGTTGAGCTAATGGAAAGAGACTTCGATTCCATGTACGATATGACAACTTGGGAAGAGAAAGACGCAGATTTGGGGCTGGATATGATGCTTGCTCACCTAGACACTGCCAGAATAGTTTCTGAGCAATGCGGCCTGTACCGTGTAAAGGCCGATTCTATTATGGACAATTTTACAGCACAGGATGAGATTTTAGACATTTTCAAAACTGATTTTCACCTTAGGTTATTATGGGGTGCTAAAGGTGCTGCAGTGAATCGGTACGATAGGTTAACAAAGTTTTCTCAGATATTAAATGCGCTTTCTGAAAGAGCAGAATCATCCCAGGATCATGGAACACCTTTATGAACTCTTTATCTTTGTATAGATGACTAAATACATGAACTGGTGACACCTTCCAACTCAACGCACATTGGTCAAGTAAATATACTGGATATTAATTATTTCCTAATTGGGTTAGCTGTTGGTGTAATGATACATTCAATACAGGGTTTCTTAATTAACCTGATACTCGCTGTCAGATATACAATTAGGTCAGAGAAAATATGCGTTGCAATATTGTACTCAAATTTTAAGATTTCATGCTTATAATAATGATGCAGCTTGCTGGTAAGCTTTACATTAAGACTTTTGATATGCATCAGGCATGTAAAGAATTATATTATATAACATAGGTTGTAATTCTGTTTAAGAGAAAAAGATTATTTTGAATGAAGGACATTGTTGATAACCAACTAAGAAATATTTTGAAATTGTATATTAATTGATAATTTTCATCTATATACAAGTGCAATCAACCAAATTTAACATGATACTTTATGTCACAATTCAAAGATGAATTGTTCCTGATTTTTTCTCTTTTTAAATTTATTTTTTTAAAATTTAATTAATTAAATTAATTTTTTGTGAGGGGAGGCAATAGATAAGTAATTGGGCAGCAGGCTGCAAATGAAAGTGGGTAGCAAGTTTATCAAATTTTACTATGGAATGGCCTATATTGAGCTTAATGATCTACATGCATATAAAGACCCCTATTTTAATAACATTGCCAAATATTAAAATTGTAAATTAGGTATATTTTACAACATGTTAAGTAAATACTGGAAGCTTTGCTTTGGCTCCTGTTCATACACGTAGCTTTATATAATAAGACAATAGAAAGTTCATGTCATATCAAAACTTTTAAAATTATATTGGACAGTGTACAAGATGGCTGGTGACCACATCTGTGACAATAAATTAAAGGTAAATAAATTTGATAATAATGAACTGTAAATGCTGCCTGTGTTAAATTTCATGCTGTTCAGACTCCAACCCAAAACACGCCCCCCCCCCCACCCCCCACCCCCAAATAGCTATACTTTTCCCTTTTAATGCAGAGTTTCATATTAACAGAAAAAGTAAATTTGACCAGGGTTAAGAACTGTAAATGATATCAAAAAATTTTGGATAATGGAATTTTACACCAAAATTTTTATACTTTTATCTTTCAGTAAATATCGATCATTGGCTATAATTATTTCCATTTAAATTAAACCTTTAATTTTCATTCATATTTAAACAGGAATTCTCAACTAAGAGTAAAAAGTGAACAAAAATGGACCCTGTGAGGCTGTGACTTTCAATGCCATCGACCTACTTTCGATCTTTACTTTCGACTGTCTTGTATATTAATGCCTCTCTTAATATAATTAACACAGCCATAGCTGATTATAACGCGAGATCATCTTAGATGTGGTGTCAATCGATCATGTGACAAAATTTTTACATATCGTAAAATATCCGAGTCCCGCATCGTGACTTTAGTTTATTAATTTATTTAATGCGGTATTCGAATCGTTCCGTCAACATACTGAATTGTAAAAAGTGCTTTTTTTCGTGGGTTGGGTAATCAATAAAAACGAATCCCCTCTTGGAAATCCTGGATCCGCCCCTATATATAATGTACCCCTTCTCTAACAACAAGAGGTGTTGGGTTCTTTCATCTACAGCGGGATAATGTAAGATTGTTGATTCTGTGGGCTCTAATCCGTCTCAGGATGGTCTAGGTATCGGCTCTAGTTATGGCCGGAGAAAAAGTCACGCAACACCGCAGTTTTATTTCCAAAACCAAAAATCAATTTTATTACTTGGACATTGCCTAGTTTTATGGAAGAAATCTACGCGACAGAAATCGCCAAATCTTATATTAATTTTAAGTGAGAAGGGGCAATTGAAAAGAATTTCGACTGATAATTAAACGAGGCATGCAACGAGCCCTTGGGATGCAACTGCATTAAAATTAATTGGCAAGTCTGTTGATTATTTTTCCATCTGTACACTCCTTCCGTTTTTATAACAAAGAAAAATTGAAGGATATAGTTTTATTCAACTATATATTATATACAGCAACATTTAATTTCAAAAGTACTTCAGTAATCATTAATGAATCCTGTAAACACACTCAGTAGGTGGTAGTACCCGATGCCCTCGGGCCGTGGGGAAAAACCCGTCTAAACCCTTCGTGGGGAATGCCGGGAAAATGCCCACGCCCGGATACTTCAGTCTTTAAAACATGATAACTTCAGTTTTTTTTATTGGCACGGCGCCTTAAAGTTAAAGGCATAATAACTCTTTGTATGAGACCTATATTTCACAATAAAAACCTTGTGAATAACTCATAGAAATATAATATATTCTGTTTTACCACAAAAACAGCAGTTATAGCTTTTATTCTGATATTTGAACTTGTCTTTAGACCACGTGACCTCCATTGATGTCTATACTCTGTTAAAATCTCTTAAGAGATTTTAACAAAAAACCCAACTTTTTAGAAAAAAACCAGGGACTAACTTTGAATATAAAAATGGATTCATTAACTATTGGTAAGCATGGGAAAATTGTTGTTTACTCCAGGAAAATTCATTTTTTGGCCGAAACGAAGAGTTATTATTGCTTTAATAAATATCGTCATGTTTTAGACAGCATGGTGCAACTGAATCAACTTTCTCGTGTCTACAAACTATTCTCTATATACACTATACTGGTACACAAGATTAAGCACAAGAATTAACCAAAGAACATGTAATTCTTGCTGAAAGTCAGGGGCGGATTTAGGCCGTCTTCTGGGTCTTCCGGAAGACGGTCAGATTTTCAAGTTTACATTGACGGGTATCCAATTTTTCCTGTTGGAAGACGGTCAAAATTGGAGGATGAATCAACAAAGATAATTTGGAAGACTGTTAGTAAATAGCTCTGGATCCGCCCCTGAAAGTGGTACTGAAGACAGTTAAGACATTTACTAGTCTTAACGCAATTAAACTGAGGCTTATTTTAAACTTGACATAGGGGGATGAAGTCAAATTAATTAACTCGATCCTTTTGCGACTGAAAGTATACATCAAAACTTGGATATAGTTCTCTCTCATAAAATAGATAAAAGTTCAGGTAATATGATTATTACCCAGACACATCAATGATTGAAATTAAACTTTGACATATAACTGAATACAAGTTTCTCAAATGTAAATTTGCCCTGAAATCACAACTGTATGATACAAGTAAAGGATAAAGCAAGCTTGCTTCGACATATTTCATATTTCACATCGCACTGTATGACCGTCCATGCAAATTTCAATATGAATTTTTGGGTCTGGAGAAAGGTGCATATATGATGAATTGGATATATTTGTCAACTATAACACTTGAGAAAATCATAATATTAGTAATATTAGTAATGTGCGATCCTCAATCTTGAGAGACGACTGTGTGCACCCAGCCATCCCTCACGAGGAGCCGTGTACAAAAAATACAATGAAATATTTTCTCAAACGTAAAATATTTCATTATAGATTTTGCACAAGCTATCAATGTAAAACCTCTTCATGTAAAAGGATTTACATGAAGTCAGATTTTACAAAGATGCGAGGGTTAGTCGAGGTAAGTGTGCGGATTATGATCTTCTCAAACGCTATACTGACGAACAACTCCACATCATCAAAAGCACAAATATGAAAAATGACTACATCACTGAGATTGAAATTAAACACAGACGCCCATAACTGGTGGTCATACCAATGCTTTGCGAGCGAAAACCTATCTGCATTTAGAATGTGGATAAAGCAATAAACTGGATATTCTATTTAAATTTTAATAATAGCTGTTGAGACAGAAATTTTTCACACAGAACCACAATTCATCTTATTCAATTGAACATTCATGGAATTATGAATGATCATATTGAACTTCAGTTTTCTCTTAAGCTATTGGAATAAAATGTTTCACTGGCATAAGTAAAAAAAAAACTTACTAAATAGCCTACAATTACAACCGACTCGTATCTGTGACCCATGAAGCGCAAAAAATCTCAATATATAAAAGACTTGAGTACATTTTTATATTGTATTCCTCTTATATTCAATAAATCGCTCTTTACCCTTCACATTCTCTAAAAATTTTTTCGCAGTCAAGACTGCTAGGATGTCCGATGATCAATGAAAGTGGATACAGTTGCTCGTTGCAAGTGCCATTAATACAAGTGTTTCGCATCTTGGACATTTTTGCTAGAATTGATGGTATCTGCGTTCGGGCATTATTTCAGGAAAACTGCCCTTTGGTAGCCTACAAATGAAACGTAACATGTTCACACAAAAGTATGAAAAGTAATTGAAAGCTTGCATTAATTGCAGCAAAGAACATGTCACTGGAAATTCCACACCGTTAATTCTAGTAAGTATTTTGACGTTTCATAATACTTGGGTTCTTAACACGATTATTTTATTTTATTATAGTATATTTCTATAACAACACAAGAAAACCACATTATGATTTAGGAGAGTGCCAAGATTCTACAAAAAAAGTGACTAGTAAATAAGAGGGATAAAGGAAGGAATATGAATCACGAAAACGCCTAATGATCTGAACAATATAAAGAGATGAAAATACATGCTCACCTGTACGATTGTCTCTTAGTACCACAACCGCAGCACTTGTATTCTAGACCGGTGACAACGCAATTTCTGTCATATTGTAACTGATGGAAGATCTGAAAGTTGGGCCATAGGATCTCAAAATATTTTGCACGAGTGATTTTTTTTTTTTTTGCAAGTTTGTGGATTCTAAAATGTCTGCTAAATGAATTTCCTTGAGTATATTTTAAATAGATAATAAATGTCTACATTTAGTGGCTTAACAGCAGTTTCCAAACAGTCTAATTTAAACCAATTTTGTCTTAGGCGTTGCACAAAATGTCCAGTTTGTTGAATTTGCATTGACAAAGGTTTTGTAATATCTATATCTATAAATGACAATTAAGGTCATTGTTCACCCTCTACCCTGGCCCATAACTTACCTTGAAGGGTCCTAAATTCCAATGGTATCACAACTAGACAAGGACTCTTGAAATCCCATATGCTAATATAGCTTTCTCCATTTTAACCTTATGAAAGTGGACCATCATCAGGCCAGGCGCTCACCAATGTTATCTGCCTCAACTTCAGATGATTTTATTCTCTAAAACGGTAACACTTTCCAATGATTATTAAGACTGTTTATTGCATTACCAACCCTTAGTTGTATCAATATGTCTATTTTCTGTGTAATCTGTGACTGACAATAATTGTTCGGACATGTAGATTTGTCAGAATGTTTATCTTGATTATTTGACCATAAGATTTTTTGAATTTTTTCAAGAGAACTTGATTTGATTTAATTTTCAATGTAACTGTCCAGTTTTATTAAAATTTGTATTCGGAACAGTGAATCCTGACTCAGACCCGTAGTTTTTAGGAAAGTTGAGGTTCGAATGGCCAGTAAGGAGAAACATTTATGGCAAAGACTGCAATTGAAAAAACATTTTAGTCTATTTCTTTCCCCAATAACACGAGTTACCTTTAAGAGTTTTCCATCTCAGTGAAACACCATATGCCTTGGACGCTTCCCAATGCAGCCACCTCGTAGACAGACTATGGCAGGACTCGCTGGACGCTTCCCCAATGCAGCCACCTTATAGACAAGCTTGGACAGGACTCGCTGGCACCAAGGATCGATTGAAATAGCTGAAGCGTAGATGTGNGGCCCTTTTCTGTGCAGTTGTCAGTGGGAATTCTATCGAGAATCGCCGTAATCGAGTTCTGTTAACAGAAAGAAAAACGTATGACTTTTCCTACTTATGTCAGCACTCTGCATTCAAGGTTACCTTTTAAGTGTTTTCCACCACATGCCTTGGACGCTTCTCCAATGCAGCCATCTTGTAGACAGACCATGTCAGGACTCAATGGACGCTTCCCCAATGCAGCCACCTCGTAGACGGACCATAGAAGGACTCGCTGGACACTTCCCCAATGCAGCCACCTTATAGACAAGCTTGGACAGGACTCGCTGGCACCAAGGATCGATTGAAATAGCTGAAGCGTAGATGTGGCCCTCTTCTATTTCAGTGGGAGCTCCATCGAGAATCACCATAATCGAGTTCTGTTAACAGAAAGAAAAACGTTAATGACTTTTCCTACCTATGTCAGCACTCTACATTCAAGCTTACCTTTAAGGGTTTTCCATCCCAGCGAAACACCACATGCCTTGGACGCTTTCCCAATGCAGGCACTTGTAGACAGACCATGGCAGGACTTGCTGGACGCTTCCCCTGTGCAGACACCTCTTAACAGCCACCTCGCAGACAGGCCATTGAAAGCGCAATGGACGCTCCACCAATGCAGCCATCTCAAAGACAGACCATAGTATGACTCGCTGGACGCTTCCCCTCGTATATAGCCACCTTGTAGATAGGCTTGGGAAGGACTCCATGCAGTTGTCAGTGGGAGCTCTATCAAGATTCGCCGTAATCGATTTCTGTTAACAGAAAGAAAAACGTATTAATGACTTTTCCTACCTATGTCAGCACTCTGCATTCAGGCTTACCTTTAAGGGGTTTCCGTCTCAGTGAAACACCACATTCCTTGGACGCTTCCCCAATGCAGCCACCTCGCAGACAGGCTTGGGCAGGACTCGCTGGCACCAAGGATTGGTTGGAGTGGCTGAAGCGTAGATGTGGCCCTTTTCTGTGCAGTTGTCAGTGGGAACTCTATCGAGAATCGCCGTAATCGAGTTCTGTTAACAGAAAGAAAAACGTATTAATGACTTTTCCTACTTATGTCAGCACTCTGCATTCAAGGTTACCTTTTAAGTGTTTTCCACCACATGCCTTGGACGCTTCTCCAATGCAGCCATCTTGTAGACAGACCATGGCAGGACTCAATGGACGCTTCCCCAATGCAGCCATCTCGTACACAGACCATGGCAGGACTCGCTGACACCAAGGATTGGTTGAAGTAGCTGAAGCGTAGATGTGGCCCTTTTCTGTGCAGTTGTCAGTGGGAACTCTATCGAGAATCGCCGTAATCGAGTTCTGTTAACAGAAAGAAAAACGTATTAATGACTTTTCCTACCAATGTCAGCACTCTGCATTCAAGGTTACCTTTTAAGTGTTTTCCACCACATTCTTTGGACGCTTCCCCAATACAGCCATCTCGTAGACAGACTATGGCGGGACTCGGTGGCACGAAGGATTGATCGAAGTAGCTGAAGTGTAGACGTGAACCTCTTCTCCTTGCAGTTGTCGCTGGGAGCTCTATCGAGAATCGCCAAAATCGAGTTCTGTTAAAAGAAAGAAAAACGGATAAATGAGTTTTCTTACCTATGCATGTAATAAGAAGAAACCTGGAATGCATGGAAACATATGCAATGAAACTACAACAATATAGCCCACAGCAGCAGAAAGCCGATGATGTATCCTGCGAAGATTCCTGAGCGACGATTTCTCCTGGAGCGAAGCGACGGTTTTAGCTGGCCAGCTTAGAGAAACGTCGAATCCGACGTGTGCGTGTCGATGAGCGATGCGTTGACTTGAGCCGAGAAAAAGATTCGTAGAAATGTGAGTTGACTCCGGTGTCCTTTTTGCTTGATACGGGGCGCAGAAGGCCTACACGGCATCCTTCTTGTTGCTCCAGATCTGCCTGCGTTGAATGAACGAAATTTCAAAATTTCGCGCTTTTATACCTTCAGTGATATATAGTCACATGGTGGCGTTCCTGGTCAATTTGTTCATTGGGGGTGCCGTTTGATAGTGATGTCCATAATTGATTATAAGATCATTTTAACATACACATTTTATTAACTATTTTTTATTTTGATTATTCTGTTTATCATTTTATTTTACAATAAAACTAAGAAGTACTAAGCAGTGACTTCGAAATGTACAGGCAAATTTGATAACAATTTCTGAGCAACATACCTTCTCCCCAAAATTATGATAGGCCCGATGTCCGTTAAACTGGTACAGGTAGCCGTGGCCGTGAACTTTTCGCAGGCCGCTATAGAACGTGTGTATTCGAACACTGATCCAAAATGTGAATAATGCAGTAGGGCAAAGGGTGACTGCATTTTCGAGGCAGCCCGAGGGAGCATGGTTGTTTTGATTGTGGTGAATTGTAGTGAGACAATATTGACTTCAGTACTCTAAAACATATTTTGTAATCAACTGAGTTCTTATTCTTTGAAATAAAAAACAAGTTAATGAGATTTTACGAAGCGAAAGAAAGCAGCATTGCAATATGTCACATGAAATATCTTGATTAATCAGACAACAGAAACAAATGAATATTTTTTTAGGCCTACTGGTATAGGTAATAATTAACAACGTACGCCTCCATTCATGGCTTTGGGTTATCAGTACTCTGATGCCAGTAGCAAGACTAGCGAGAATTTTTTTTAAATGAATAAGACAATAGGATAAAAATTGAAATTAGATATTTCTCATTTATACGTTTACTTTATCCCCTTAAATCTTAGTTGAAAAGTACACTTTTTAGTACGCGTGGTCACTGGTCATCTTGAACATCCCCCTGCCGAACACACAACCCAACGTGTCGAGGTAAACTGCTCAATATCAATGTTTTCATGGCCAGGCACATGATAGCTCCATTTGTGTTTTTTTGAGTGGGGTGGTCGACACAGCTGGAAAATCGAAATGGGGAATTGCTTTGCCTGCGACGAGAACACTCACTAACTCTCAATTTATAGGTCCATTTAGCATTTAAAAAAATAAGAATGAACGAGAGAAAATTTGTTTGTCCAAGTGGAATTTTACTTAAATCACTGTTACAACTTTTAAAAATCACTGCAAAAAATATTTAAGAATCACTGCAAAAAAAAAAAGATAATAAATAAATAACTTTACCTGTTCTGACACGTACGCACACACACACACACACACACACACACACACACACAAAAAAAAAACATAAAATTTAAACCATTTAACTGTTGCTCGTAGCGCCATCTCACACTCTCCAATCTAATGTATGTTTCAGAAAATGCCTTTGTTTATGTTTTTTTTTAAATAACACAATAATTAGATCGCCGCTACGTTCGCGGTGTCACCTGTCTTTTAAAATTGAAAAAAAAAAATCTTGCGGTCTTTTGCTGCAGGTCATTATTTTTGGTTGTTTAATGTTTTTGTAATATTTCAGCCATTTAATGAATCTTAAGTTATATCCATGATTAACTAGACGATATGATGACAGGACACAGTTAATAGTTTTAGTCGAAACTGCATTTTCATAGACAGTAATTTGCAAAACCTTCGTTAACAGGTATTGTGAAAAATATACTTGAAGTTGAGGAGAAAATGTACCAGTAAAATAAATGTGCATCTCGTAACCCCTTCAGAGCAGACTTATTTTTGTTAGTATGAATAACGTGCGAATATTATCCAAAATGATTGTTTTTTTAAACCTTCTTTACTGAATACGAAAACTTTCAATGCTAGCAATGCATGAATCGGAAAAAGATTGCATTATTACGCAAAAAGCTAGATTTATCACTTTCTGTCACAATAGGTTTAGACAAAGGAGAATATGTGACCCCCTCCTTCTCGTTACTAGACTCTCCAGTAGAAAAACGTTTCACAAAAAAAAAAAAAAAAAAAAAAAAAAAAAAAAAAAAAAAAAAAAAACGCCACTGTTAATGCATGTTTAGGTAGTTCTAATGTAGGCCTACACCACATATTCCTTACGTCACTCCCTTAAACCCCTCTCCAATTTCGATTTCAGATAGTTATTCAGTAACAGACAAAATTATATGTCAAGGTGTTCTGGTCAATACATGCCTAGATATAAAATTTTTGAAACTGAACAACGTGACCGTGATCAAGTGTCGTAAAGCTTGCGTTACGAACTTGCTTTGTTATTAGATGGCTATTTAAAAGTTAAAGAGTAAAGTATAATTTAATCAATATTAAATTTTAACCTTTCGTTCCACGTATTAAAGTTTGGAAATTGTTTTTCTTATTTATTTATTTATTTATTTATTTATTTATTTATTTATTATTATTTTTTTTTTTTTTGTGTGTGTGTGTGTGTGTGTGGGGGGGGGGGGGGGGGTTAAAAATAAAAAGACCCCACTGGATCCGCCCCTGAATATAGTCTATTCAAATAAATATCTAATAAATAGCAGTGGCGGATTTAGAGGAGGGTCACGGGGGTCCTAATATCCCCCTCTTGGAATTAGAATTTTGAATAATTGAACACTCTGGACAAGGTGGAAGAGGGTCGGGATCGCATCCGAGGCCTGTCATTCCTGAAAAGTCGGCCCCCCTTCAAATAATCCTGGAGCCGCCCCTGAGACCGGACATAAGAAAGCCTAATTTGCACTGTGTCTTTTTGAACAGAATGTTCCTTTTATAAATTTCTTAAAATTAAATTCTACCTTAAGATATAGGCCTAACGTATGGAAAAGCATAGCCTACATGTAGGCCCCTGATAGCTTGATTTGCACCAGGATATTGTGCACTGTTTCTTAATTTAGACATTATGTTGAAATATTTGTTCCTTAAAAAACTAGTATAAAAGAATTAAAATTACCACAGGAAAAAGAAATTAATGTATAACCAAATAAGCGGACTGCACAACAGGAATTTATCATGTGATTAAAGCTGTTGTTTTATCAGCACCGTCGTGAGGGTGTTTCGCAATCAACTTCTATATTGTGTTTGTTGAGATCGTCGCCGTGTGTAGAATATGATCCAATCAGCTGCAGCTTTTTATTCAGTCCGGTGACCTAGAAAAGCACAAAAACAACTGGGGCACAACACAAGCCGCCATCTTAACGTAAGAGAGGGGCTTTTGCGATTTAACCATGGTGTTCGAAACTTGTGGGCCCAACGAGGCCATGGTTGTTTCAGGTAAGTAAAAGTTTCTCCAGGGTTATGTGTATGATCATGAATTTTTAGTAAATATATTCAAAAGTAGATAGATTGCAGAGAACTTTTGGAGAAGTGCCCTGCCCCTCCGATTTTGCAACAGGATGGGTCTTTCGCAATAACATCTGCAATGCATTTTTTCTAACAAGTGCAATAAACAGACTGCAAATTTATATTGATCTTCAACATTTGTAGTTTTTTAACTAATAAGAGCCTTTGATATCGTTTTCACGTTTTACTTAATGTATAAATTACTAGTAGATGAATTAATTATGTTAACGAGTAACGTTCTGTTGTTATTGAATTTTGATCGAGCTACCTACTCGTACTGCATACAAGTTATTTTTAAACTGTTTATTGCCTACATGTTTGCGAATATTGTATATAATCATAAGCATGCTCTTTTCCACCTATAAGGTATTTATACAGACCCTTTTTGCATATCGTCCTCTGACGGAAATGGAAAATTGTGAAATTCTTTTCACTTCAAGCTCCTCAGAGAGTGCTGGGTTCAATGTCATGATATTGGTCGAACAAGTGCGAAGAGAATGATATCAAAAAGCCATCGCTTGTCATCTGAGTGAAACTGGACAGTTTAAACATCTGATTTCAGTATGCTGTGTTTATCTGTGGCAGTTATTAAAACTATTGATTTTTTTCTGGAACAATAATGATAACATTTATTGGTATTTCATCACTAGGCTGCTGTTTGAGTAAACCGTTTATAGTGCCAGGCGGCAGGGTATGGGTCTGGCCAGGAATTCAGCAGTTGCAAAAGTAAGGGACACTCATTGGCCACCATATTCGGACTGTAGCAGCCATGCAGCATGATATTTGTGTTTTGTTTGTTTGTTTCATGGCTTTTTTATTGAGCATTTCCAATATATGTTTTTGGTTTTTTCTGCTCCCTTAGTGAGTTTGATTTTTTCACAAATTTAAATGTGAAGTTGGGGAAAAAGCAATTTTTGGATGAGATTTTTCTTGTCATTTCCATCATAAAAAAAAAAAAAATTCAACCAAAAAGTTTATTTACAAAAGAAAAACAACCATGAACGATTTAAAAATGTGTTGGAATTGTCTCCCATTTCATTTGCATTATAGGTTGTACGTGCCACAGTTACTGTATGTTATAACATGGCCATTGGGGTAGCATTTTAGAAGCTGTATTAAGTTTATATGGTGAAGAGTCACAGGGAGAAATAGAAATTCATGTATGCTTCATAGACCATTTTAATTTTCTGATTTGACTTATTATTGGCCTCGGTTTATTATTGATTTAAAAAGATACTCTGTCAGCTGCAGTTTTTTGCTCTAGTAAATGTATAAGACTGATAAAAAAGATTTTTTTAAATGTGAACTCAACTGTAAGTTAATTTTTAGCCTTTTTTTAATATAATAATTTAGATGGGATTATTGTAAATTTCTGCTCCTGCTCACAAAGCTTATGAATGTATATATATATATATATATATATATATATATATATATATATATATATATATATATATATATATATATAGCATGCATGTTGATTTTGTTCTTATTCTAAAGCATGAGCTATGTTGTATTTATGATAGAGGATGGAAATTTCTTTCATTTACAGATGAACGTATATATCTGTTTTAACCTGCCCCAGTGGTTAATGTACTTACATATATGTAACAAATGGTAGTAGAAATATTGTTTTGCTTTCAGCAAAGCCCGGTGCTGCCACTTACCAGGCAGTGTTCTGCTTTTCATGTGTTTTATTTATACTGTACATCAGGATTTCCCTTGCAACTGAGTAAAGTAAAATTCTGTCAGGAATCACTTTTATTTCTTTTGTAAAATCATATTTCAATAAATTTTTGTTCATATTTGCAAAAAAAAAAAAAATAATAATAATTAAATAATAATACAAAAAGATTTTGGCAAAAGAAGATTGGTGTCTACTTATCTCATCATCAGCTGTCATGAAACATTTTTTNAAAAATGGCAGTAAACTGTTCATTTTGTTTTATGTTAAAAAAGTGTTAAAAATGGAAATAAACCCATTTCAGAACAGTGCTGTCTTGTTAAAATTTGATGTTGAATTTGCAGTTTAACATTATGTACTTTTGCATCAGAATTGGCAGTAGCCTATTTTGTGCATAGTTATTTCCTGCTTTTTGTCTGTACATTTGACAGCTTTGCTGCCTTGTCTTTATATAGGTCTACTAGGTATCTGAATATAAATCTGCTTCCTGAAATTAATTCCTGATGTACAGTAATCGCCAGCAGTAGTATTATAGTACACTTGTTTAGAGTGACATGGTGAATCAGTTTGTAGCATGTTGTTGTTTTTTTGTTGCACTTGTCTAGGCTGCTGTCATGGGAAACCAAGCATAATCCCAGGTGGGAGGGTCTGGGTGTGGCCTTGTATACAACAGTTACAGAGGTAAACCTGCTTAACCACCAATTGATATGTGCCACATTCATTTTCAGTGAGAAAATTTTTTTTCAAGAATTGCCTTTTATTTCTTTCGTAAAATCAAAATATCAGAAAATTATGTGCAAATTGGCCAAAAGAAAAAGAAAAAAGAAAGAAAAAAGTGATAATACAAAAGATTTTCGAAAGGAAAATTGATTGTATTTTCCTGTAAGTATTTTTTAGATTTTATCTCGGGTGTATGTGTTATTAGGTCTTATATCTGCAGCATATGCACATTTATTTTTTTCTTCATTTTAAAAAATTATATTTTATTACCCAGTACAACTGGAATCAAATTTGCAAGTTTGTTATTTGTTAGAATTCCCTGATTTATAAAATGCCCTTGAATAGTCTTTTCACTAAAAATGAATGTGGGCAATAATATTGGGTCTTTATAGAGTTTGTTATTAATTTATATTTGTGATGGGATGTGTTTTGTTTAGATTATGTATTATTATTTTCTTATTTGTTAAATACGTACATAATGACATATTAAATTTAAAATTAAATTTTGGATACCTATTCTGCACTGAATTTGATTTTTTTTTTTAAATGTCTTGTTACTAGTAAATGTATCTATTTCTTATATTGCAATGTTTTCCATACATTGATGTATATTGCATTGTCAATTTTTGCACATAGTTTTTTAATGCTCATTGAAATGAAAGTTGAATTTAATACTTATTATTTATTCTTTAACATGTCTATTTGTTTTTATTAAAAGAGATTGTGGTATATTTGCTCTGGAGATTCACTTACCAACATAATTTTGTCAATTGCTTTATTATCATCCTTTATGCCCTGTCTTAGAATTAATGTTAGTTCAGGGGAAAACCAAAATAATATTGAACTTGAAAGTGTATTCTTGTGTGGAACACTATTTCCAAAACAATGTGTTCTGTTGGCCCCCTAAATTTGTCATTAAATATGATATAAATGTGGTTGAAGTGCCAAATTTTATGTTAATTTCCTCATTTATTTCATGGTGAGTGTGAAATTTTGTTCCCACAAAATCCCTTGAAATTTAGCTCATCGAAGTCGCATTTGATTTTTTATTTCTAAATGATTATTTCAAAGAAAAGGAAAAAAAATACAAGTGAAGTTTTCACTTTTCATTTCCATCTGCTGTTTCTTCAGAATATCTCTGAATATCATGACCTTGCACATTGAAACCCCACAAGTGTATACACAGGCAGGTGTGGCTATCTCTGTCACTGGGATAGCACAGGTAACACTGGCTTGCTCACACACTACTCTGATCCTCTAGACTGAATCAGATCTGAATGGAAAAACCGGATTGTAATCATGGAACATCTGCACAGCATAATTCCATTGAAGGAGATTTCCTCTGTTGATGGTAATAACTGGATTTGGGAGCCTTGTAAGTGCTCCCAACATGTCAAAACATGCCAGAAATGAGAATCCTGATTCCATATAACTTATTTGAGAATCCTGCTGTTCAGATGCCAGCGTGATTACAATATGTGGTGTTTTGAAATTTAGATTGAATCAGTTTCGAGATATCAGAGAGGACTGTGAATAGAGCCTGAGTTTTGGCCCAAATTAAATTTGAACCGCATGAACATGTGCATGATTTTATTCATTTTCATAAAGCATGTTTTAAGCATATGGTTTATTTACACCCCACCCCTCCCTATTTTACTTATCCACTATTTAGCCTGAATGTTTTCCCTGAATATGAAAATATCAGTATTCCCTAACATGCAAAGATCTGCTGCCAATGATTTTGACTAACCAAAATCTCATTTTTGTACTGATTCAAAATGGGAATGCTGATGTTGATGTATACTGTGAATTTATGCATGTCTCTGGGGTTGGAAAGGTCAGAATTTCAGGTCATTTTAGCATTCTCAAGGAAGACAGGTAACTTTTTGGTGTTCAAGAATTGATGTTTTTTCTCAGGTTCAGGTTGTGTATATCCCACATTGAATGGTTATTGATTGGTTTTGATCAATTTATGATTTATAGACAAAATTATGTTCAGAAGTATAAGGTTGATAGTAGCAAATTTAAAAAATGATGATTCGCAACCCATCTGAGGAAACATCAAAAGACAAATTTCTCAAGTCCCATTTATTTCCCCACANGATGTTTTTTCTCAGGTTCAGGTTGTGTATATCCCACATTGAATGGTTATTGATTGGTTTTGATCAATTTATGATTTATAGACAAAATTATGTTCAGATGTAGAAGGTTGATAGAGACAAAATTCAAGAATGATTATTCACAACCATCTGAGGAAACATCAAAAGACGGAATCTCAAGTCCCATTTATTTCCCCACTGTTTTAAAAAGTGAATCTTGGTTTTACCTGTAGAATATCCAGTAAAATATTTCACTGAGGTCAATGGGTGATCTACATTTCCCTAATTGGTTCATTAGGTAGTAGTTAGCAAATCCGGTTCTAACATTTCTTTTTCTGCAGAATTAACCTGAACACCATGACCCTAAAGGTCACCAGTCCTCAGGTGTACACACAGTTAGGGGTGGCAATCTCAGTCACTGGTATTGCACAGGTAAGGTTTTCTACAGGTATGACACTGTGCTATGTAACACACTAGCTGGGGCACACACTAGCATGGTTTTCTTTTCAGCCACTAAGCTAAAAATGAATTACCCAGACCACATTTTTTGTGTTTAATCGTGACGAAATTGATGATGTTTTATTTGGTATTTTTGAAAGGTTTTGTGAACGGACTTATTTTAACGTTTGCTTGGTTGTTTTTAGCTATTGGTGAAAGTGAATCATGCTAATGCAAGCCCACACCAGTGTTGTGCACGTGTGATACAAAGCGGTGCTTAGCACCCCGCCCTCCCCCCTTTTTTTTCTTACAAAAACTTGGTTTGCAGTTGTGTGGATTTTTGTCTACCTGTCACTATGGTGTTATTTTTTTGTAATTCTCTGCTTCAGAATAACTCTCAACACAATGACTCTTGTAATAGAGAGTCCAAATGTGTATACCCAGCTTGGTGTTGCCATTTCTGTAACAGGTGTAGCCCAGGTGAGAATTAGTTTTTTTGTGAGGACATCACATGTTATTTATATGGGACCATTCAGAGTGAGAAGAGCCGAGTGCTAGCTAGGCCATGACCTAAATATGACGGACCTTCATGAAAGGAAGAATGCTTAATCCATGCCTTGTCCTTTGGTTGAATTGAGCCGAGACTTAATTACTGTGCCCCTGGAGGGATGACGCGTAAGGACGTGTGTGAGAGGTGGAGAGACCATTACGGGATTAAGTGGTCTTCTTTTCATGTAGGTCGGCCATATTTAGGTCATGGCCTAGCTAGCACTCGGCTCTTCTCATTCTGAATGGTCCCTATTATAGACGAAACTTGATCTTGTAAAAAAGTAAAGTGAAGGGCCTTTGCAGTCACTGCTTGGGTGGTGAGGAAAGTAAATGCATACTAACCCCCCCCCCCACCCACCTATTCACCCACTATCAAGGGGAAGCAAATTTTCTATTCCTGATGCATACGCTGTGACATGTTTCCAGAGTTTGTCCTTTTCTGAAGCGAACAGGATTAATATTAAAGCTGAAATTTTTCACAAAGTAAAGCTATTAAAAAATGAAATGTTTATTTTAAAAAAATTACTAACATTTCTATTTTCGCTGTTTAAGGTAATTAACATTTGCATCAGTTAACCTGCAAACAATATCAATTATAATGGCTTCTCTGGTAACATTTTGTCTTTGAAAAACAAGTGTTGGGTAAAAAAAAGTTTGATTGTTAAAACTGGCCCAGTCTTCCCCAACCTCCCAAATTCACCTTTGTGTACTCAGATACTTTATAGACTGAATTCCGTACTAGCAATATGAAAGGTGAGTTGTATCAACATCTTAGAATTTGAAAATTGGGTGGGACAAATAATCAAAGAGCAGTGTATTTTTGCAATTTTTGAAGTGTTTTCCCTTTAAATTTATTTGAGTGCATTTTGGTGAAGAGTGCATTTTGGTGAAGTTTCTGGGTTCAGTTACAGTAACGTATTTATTTGAGTCTTTGACCTTCTTTAGAAGTCTTCAGCTGTAAGTTCTTCAAACTTAACTTGTAGATTAGACATTGTTGTACTTTATTAATACCGTTCTCAGAAGTAGTATTGAGCACTGTAGTTGTCATTCGTTTGTACATAGTATTTGAGACATATTGTGTTGTTTTGTTTACTAGTAAGCCAAATTTTTTTATATCAAAAAATATTAACAATTCTGGTTAAGGTCCAAAATGGTTGCCCTGTTTTGTTACTGACATCAGCTTAACTTAATAATATTTAAGAACCATTTGTCTATAATTTATGTTTTGGTATAAGCCTCATTACTTCAAAACATAATTATTTAAAGTTACAGTGAGCATGATAAGCTACTAAATTACAAAACTTATTTTCTCCCTCTTGAAATTGTGATTAATATAAAGGACCAGTGTTGTAAGCAGTAATATGTATTTTAATAAATCTTATAAATGAACAAAAATGATGAAATAAGTGAGCTATAAAGAATGTTACGGAATTCATAATTGGCATTGTAAATTTATATCAGTACTTGTAAATGACAAGATATTCCGCCTCATTTCCACCCTCCTGTCTGTGTAACTCCAGGTGAAGATTCAGGGCGCCAACCGCGAGATGCTGGAGGCAGCATGTCAGCAGTTCCTGGGGAAAAGTGAGAATGAAATCCGCAGCATTGCCCAAGAGACCTTAGAGGGTCATCAGAGAGCTATCATGGGAACCATGACAGTGGAGGTAAGCTGATATATCACCTGTTGGGGATCAATTCTGTGACCATAATCTTGATTTAATCAATCTTGATCTTTTATTTCCTTTGCCCAGTGATAAAATTACCAGCATGATGTCTACGTGTTTACTTTTATGATGATAATGGGATTTCTCCCCTATATTCACACTATGAATTAATTAAAATTTTCCACTTAATAGTTTTTAAAGATTATTTGAATTTTAATCACAGATGTTTTGGATGTAATTGGGATTCTATGCTGAATTCTATTTTTCAGCAAAAAGTGTGATTAGTATTGAAATTGTTTTATGTTTAGAATGAACCATCTGAAATGTTTGAGTTATTGTTGCTGACTGCAAAGCCAATTTTTCAAAATGAATACAATTGTTAGTATTCTATATGTATGCAAACTTTAAAGTTGATTGTTCCAAAATTTCAGGAAATCTACAAAGACCGCAAGAAGTTTTCCAAAGCTGTATTTGAGGTGGCTTCGTCTGATCTTATCAATATGGGTATTAGTGTGGTGAGCTATACCCTGAAGGACATAAGAGATGACGAGGTAATGAAATCCCCCCTCCTCTCTCTCTCTCTCTCTCTCTCACAAACACTTACACACACACACACACAACAAGTAGAATAGATGGAGCCCATAACAGAATTGTATGTACACTTAAATTAAAAAAAAAACTTATCAGAGATATCCAACTGCTCATTTTGGAGCAGCGGCCTAAAGTTGTCTCATTCTAGGCTTACTTGAAATCCCTTGGCCTGGCACGTACAGCAGAGGTGATGAGGGATGCTAGAATTGGGGAGGCTGAGGCCAAGATGGAGACTGTTATCAGAGTAAATAAAGGGCATGTTCTATTGTATGGCATGGATATGTTTCTCCTTCTTCTGTGTCTTAGTGGTTAGGAATTTGGAGTGGTGATTATGCACTATTTGAATTTAAGGAAAAACTAGATGGAATATTGTAATTGGGAGGCTTTGGTCAATTAAATAGAAGTTTTGTCTGTATCTGACAGTTTGGATTACTCAAGTCATTACTGGTGAGCAAAATTACACAACTTTGGATATTTTGGATTACTATGTTGACTAAGCTTTTCTTTAGAATACAACTTAGTTTGGTCATATAACATCCTAAAGGATTGCCTATTTTGCACCACTCTAAAATCTGACAAGCTTTGACATATTGCGAAGGATCGGTGTGTAGATATTTTTGTAGTTATTCCTTTTATTTACCCATTTATGTGGTTGGTGTTTTAGGGCTATTTGAAATCTCTGGGTATGTCAAGGACAGCCCAGGTAAAGAGGGATGCCAGAATTGGTGAGGCCGAAGCAAAGAGAGATGCAGGAATGAAGGCAAGTATGATCACTGCCAGTGTTATTGGCTGACCAAGTTAAGCTGTAAGTCAGCATCAGCTGTGGACCAAGCTGCTGAGCCAAGACTAATTCAATTCAAAGACTAAGATTTGAATCAGTCGTAGAGATGCATGATTAAGTTGTTAACCTTTACAGTAAATGTCATTCTTAAGACCAACAGCAATTTCAAACACAAGAAAATGGCATGGTTAAAACATTATGTTAACCCATTTTGTTTAATAAGCTTAGCCAGTTTAGTTAGTTTCTAGGGTGTGTTTATTGCTTGGTAGATGAAGTAAGATTTTTTATGCTTTAGCTGTTGAAAAAGTAAATTATTATAATTTATTGCATGAAGTATATGCAAGATATTAATATGTGTTGACAGTGTTGTCTTTAAAGTGTTTCTGCCTTGCTGTTTCAACTTTTCCCAACATAAAGTCAATTTTAATTCAATTTAAGTACATCTGATGAAGACATAATGGTTAAACAGTTCATGCTGTCTTTAATTTGGAATCATAACATCTTACCTGACTCAAAGATTACCTGAGCAGTCTGTTGACATTTCATCTTCTGCATGGTTACAGGAAGCCATTGCCGAGGAGCAGAGAATGGCCGCCCGTTACCAAAATGACATAGAAATTGCAAAAGCCCAAAGGGACTTTGAACTGAAGAAAGCTGCCTATGACCAAGAAGTGCAGACAAAGAAGGCTCAGTCTGACTTGGCATATGAACTGCAAGTAAGTGGAGAGAGAGAGAGAAAATTGTATTGTAACAGATATTATGTAAATTGGTTCTTGCTGAAGGTTTGATATTGTATATGCAATTTGATTGCTAGGAGGAATTTGTCGTCAAAGCCAAGTTGAAGTTTTTACTGATAATCTGCATACAACTATTGACACAAAGGCCCATGGCAGTTCCCCTTTGTATCGTTGTTTTCAGCAAGTTTTGCCAAGTCTACAGTAGTTTTCACATTCTTCACTATGATTTGTAAAATATGAAAGGGGTTAAAAGGACATGTTTTGTCAGCAGTTACACAAATGTGTGCATTCTGATCAATGTATCTGTGTCCAATGTTACCAGGCCGCCAAGACCAAACAGCGCATCAAGGAGGAACAGATGCAGATCAAGGTGGTAGAAAGGACACAGCAGATTCAGGTACAGCAGCAGGAGATTGTCCGTAAAGAGCGTGAACTAGAAGCAACCATTCGTAAGCCTGCAGAAGCAGAGAAATACAGACTTGAGAGACTGGCTGAAGCAAACAAGTGAGTAATGGGACACATGCATGAAAATAGCCCCCCCCCCCCCCCTCCTCCTCCTCCTCCTCCTCCCTCCCCCATTCTCAATCAGGAGGTTAGGAGGAATATTAAAAGAATAATATTTAATTGGTGGATTAATTTGATCAGGAAAAAAGTCAGTTTTTTTATTTATATATTAAGTTAAGAAAATGAAGTTAAAATGGCAAAATTAGATCAAAATGAAATTAAAAATGTCATTTTTACAGGACACAGGTGAATACTTTCATGTGACACAGTTAAATAATTTTGAATAATATCGTTACTTTTAGGAACCGGGTAATTCTGGAAGCCCAGGCCAATGCCGAAGCTGTTCAGGTAAAGATATTTCCAATATAGCCAAGGAAGAATTTGAAACTGGTCACTTTTAACCTCATGTCAATTCATATTGTGTAATCATTTTACCGGGTGGCTATATTTAGGGACCGTTCACATGCAAAATCTATTTTCTATTCACAGTATCTTGTGATAACGGTCTGTGTCCTGAATACCCCGCGGCGCAATTACTGGCAGCGGGAGCCAGTTACTTCCAAAGCTGTAGTTAATTCTCGGCTGCGCTCGGAGTGATCTCAAGATACCACGAATTGAAAATAGATTTTTAGATAATAGATTTTTCATGTGAACAGAGTCTTAATGCCTTCAAATTCTGCTGCAGTTCTTACCTCAAAGAGAGCTATCTTATAATACTATTTATTACTGTCTTTGTGATTCAGGTGAAGGGAGAAGCTGAAGCTTATGCCATTGAAGCCAAGGCTAAGGCAGAAGCAGAACAGATGGCTAAGAAAGCAGATGCCTGGAAGGACTACCAGGATGCAGCAAAAGTGGATATGGTGTTGGAGACATTACCTAAGGTATTTTTGACTGTCTGCATTTGTCTGTGTCCGTGTGTGTGTGTGTGTGTGTGTGTGTGTGTGTGTGTGTGTGTGTGAGAGAGAGAGAGAGAGAGAGAGAGTTAGGTTGTAGAAGAATAAAGAAGATGCTTGAGTATATAAAGTAACTTTTTTCAACCTGTTAAAACTACAACTAATTTGTCTTCAAAGTATTCTATATTAACAACCTCAAACCTTTCTGTAATAAACAAAGTTTGATTGTCAATGTTCTGTAATACTTCCACATTCTTGTTTTCATGTAATTCTTTGTTGAAAATATAGGTGGCAGCAGAGGTTGCTGCTCCTCTGGCCCAGTGTAAGAAGGTCACCATGGTGTCCAGTGGCAAGGGTGACGTGGGTGCTTCTAAACTGACTGGAGAAGTACTGGACATAATGGAGAAACTACCTGGACTGGTCAAGCAGATGACCGGAGTGGACATTGCCAAGGTGGGTGGAAGACTTGTTTATGGTTCAGATGACAAGGGTGTATTTTAAGGCATCTGTATCCTGTTTGTTTGAGATCTACATTGCCCAGGAAAGTGAATTGTCTGTCTGAGATGTTAGTCTGGTTTTATTAAAGTGAGATGCATTAAGTGGAAGTGCCATTTTGTGATTCTGTGTGTTGTCCACCCATTTATAACAAGTGCAGATAAATTTGTTTATTTCCATGTTTTCCCCAGGATGTCTGTTAATTTCTGTTACCAATTACTTAACATTTGTAATATAGTCAACATATTGGTAGTACATTGGTAATGTGCAAAAATATTTCTAAAAATACCTGCACAAGTAATTACAGTGCAGCAACATTAAAAAAATGTTAATTTATTCAGCTTTAATTTTGACATTTGTTTCAATTTCAGACCATGCACGTGAGGCAAGTGTAGATGGCACTTCAAGAGGAGACCAAACCACAACAGAATTCAATAGCCACTCCCTAGTCATAGACGTTCACATACATGGAATAGAATTTTGTGTGAAGTTGTCATGTAAATTAGTGTGTACTTCATTCATGTTTTGAATCTTCTCCCTTTTTACCCTTGCAGTTCCAGTATCGTATTATGTACATAATTTTCATGCTGGGGTGGTACACTGTATTTCTACTCTGAAATGAGACAAGTCTAATTGGAACTTTTGTTAGATTTGAGAAAGACAGTTGATGTTGTCTCTGTGGAGATTTAATTTTGCTGACTCTAATTTTTACTGTGCAAAAACCAGTCTTATGTTACTCAAGAATCAGATAAAGAGGAATACACTTTTGAAACAGAGGTAGCCTTAATGCCTGAAGACATCATCCTACATAATTTGATGGGGGACATGACCTCTGTAAACTGGAAGCAAGTTTTGGAATAGAAAAAGATCTTATGGATATGTTTTGTGTTGTATTACTCTGATTTGTTGAACTGCTACCTCTGTAGAACTTAGTGCCCAAAAGTACTTTTTTTTTTACTATTAATGGCAGCATAACCATGCTTTATAACAGAATTTCATTTTGTCATCTTAATTTTTCTCTTTGTAAATGAATGTTTAGGATTGTCAGTGTAGTTAATTTTTACAGAGGAACCACTTATTGCTCCAGTTTGAATGATATTTTATCATGTTTTCATAATAACATTGAGTAATTTTTACATTTTTTATGTGTAGAGTCCTAGTGTGAAGTTTCCTTCACTTTTATTTTTGTAATAATTCCCTTGTAGTTCTAATTTACTTTTAACATCACAGATTTGTAAATAATTTCAACAACCTCCAGCTTTTATAATATTTGTCAAGATGGAGACAAACCACAAGAAAGTATTACTCTCTCACTATGTTCAATACACGGCACTGTACAAACACGTGAATGGAGTTTATTTGAATCCACCATGAAAAGCAATATTTTTGCCATATTAGTTAATAAGCAAGGTATATTTGAGTTCTCACAAATTATAAGTCTTTTTAAAACAGATATGCATGTCTCTGTGTAGATGCAATGTACACTGTTTCATGTGTCTATATTTTTCACCAAAATTGCCATAGAGACTATTGGAGAGATGTTTGTGGGCTTGCTGTTTTCCTTGCATTTCCTGGATGCCATGTCCTTGCTGAGAATAATACAGTATTGTACTTGTAATGGATATGTTGCTTTCGTCTTGGAATTGCTACCATTGGAATTTATAAGTACAAGTCGTGCAAAAGTCGCATGAAATTAATTGTCAGGAGTACTCAAATCGTCTTATTATGGCAAAGTGTTACGAGCAGTGTGATGTCTTTTTGTAATTTTTTTTTTTCAAATCTAATTTAGAAATACAAGGTGTGAACTTACATACTTAGATATTGACTATGAAATGCCCCCCAGGGCACGAATATTATATAAGAAAGGACATTTCAAAGTTGATAGCTATTAAGGTGAGGATGTATCAATGTAATTAACGTATTCTTGTTTATGATATTCACATGGAATAAACCTTCTATAACTCCCCAAATTTGTTATGATATTTAATATTCAGACAGTGTTACCTACATGTACACGTGCCAAACAAAGCGTGCATCTGATGAATTGCCTTTCTAACTATTATGAAAATTAGAATGTTTAAAAACGACACAATACGGGGGGAAATCAGTGCAGGTTGTGACGATCAATGACGAAAAATTAATTTAAGGACTTGAGAAAATGTAATCCGAATTCTAAAGGCGGCAATGAACAGAACTTAAAAGTTTAAACAATTCAAAATTTTAAATAACATTGAAACTAACAGGAGTTATAAAATTTTCTTCAAGTGTAATGTATAATAAACAAGAATTTCTCGTTAAAATACTATACATCCCACTTACTACTTTATTAAGTTATCAATTTCATATTATTTGAAGGGTAAGATAAGATTTTGACACGTTAATATTTTAAGCGGTTGGCGCTCTAACCTAGTGGACACAGTTTTACGGCGAATGACCAAATGGCGTTACGGTGGCCTTTTGGCATGTCTCAACAATCCAGTTTACTTGGTCCAGGCAGGGTCATATACGAGTGGAAAGAATTGACCTTCCATTTTGTGGCCCTACAAATAATAATAATAATAATAATAATAATAAGATCCAATTTAGGATATAGTTATCATAATCATGCATGCACCTTTTCCTGACAGATAGGGTGGCATTTTTAGTGACACAACGGTATAAGAAATCAGCAACTGAATTTGTACGCAGATGATGTGTTAAACACTGTACCTTAGGTATTATTGTTTCTTGGGAGAGTTTATCGTCCAGATTTTCATCCGTGTCAGTGCCACTGTTTCCTCTCAGCATAGCTTTGTCCGTGTCACTGTACACACCATCGGCGAAATAATTTAATACCGCAGCACGCCGAGGCTTGTCTGTCCTCAAAGACACAAACATCATTTGATAAGAATATTATAAGGAGATGAGGCGTAACCTTTTCAAAGCAATTTTCAACTTACAGGCCCGTAGCCAGGGGGGTTCGGGGGGTTCGAAAGAACCGCCCCTTTTGCTGGAAAAAGGTCCACTCTGGGTAAAATTTGATCTACAGTAGGTACATGAAGTTTTTATGGGAAAAGGTCCACTTTTTCAGAAAAAGAACCCCCCTTTTGAAATTGCTGGCTACCGGCCTGACTTGGATATCTCGTCATTAAAATTGAGCATGTAGGCATGTGTCAACAAGTACCAGAAGGCGATTCCGAAAAGTTGGATTGGTTGAAAGTATTTATCACGATTATTTCTACAATTAAAATGGTAACAAGAAAGAGATAATATTTTAGCCTAAATTGTATCCATAAAAACACTATAACATGGGCAGTGACTTATTGAAATATAATGTGGAACAGTTACTCTGAAAATGACAAGCAGCGGAGAATATTGTTTGCAACATTGCAACGTTATCATTTCAAACACATTCAGCAATCTGTACATTACGTTTACTTGTTATCATAAGATCCATGAACCGTCATAGCATTATGGAAACTGGCATGTCCTTTCTTTAACAGCGCGGGCACTGGCTTAAAAGCGGCCTTCTCTTCATCAGTTAGGATGGACTGAAACACAGTAAATGATGTTACCGTTTCCCCACGAAACACAATCGTCGTGAAAATTGCTCACATGTGTGAAATTAAAAGAAGCAAGTAACATTTGTTTTAGGGTAGAGCCAACCAAACAATAGTTAAAATACATGTACTGTCACACTTAGCGTTTAGCAGTAGGCCTAACCTTTGAAAAAAAATCGCCCACACGCAGACAAACGAAATGATGTTCGTTAGACTTACTTCGTGTTCGTCTCGAATGCGCAGACAAACGTTGGTGTGCGTTCTCATACACGGATGGAGATAAAATAAGTCTTGGGCATGTTCAAAAATTTTCATTTGCTGCTTTTATGTTTATTTTAATACGCTGGAAATAAGGGTGTTTCATGTGCTCAAAGTTGTGCGTATAATCGCTTTTAGGTACGACAGTTTTTCACGCTAGGTGTGGCAGAACCTTTAGATGGACTAAGGTTTTTTAAACGGTATCTGTAAACGAACTACTTTCACGAACGCGTAAGCTTGCATATGTTAAAGAAATATATTTACTGGAAGACAGGACTGACGAAGCACACACCAAGAGAGAGAGAGAGAGAGAGAGAGAGAGAGAGAGAGAGAAATCATTACTCTATAAAAAACTTAATGTAGACTTGAAATCCTCACTTTAATTCCCTCCATGTCCCTAAAACTGTGGTCCAACACCGGGAATGGGTCGCCATTCCTCGTCCACCTAGGTATAAGAGTTACACATTTCAGAGTTTAAATATGTTGCAAGCACGTCTCAAACCGCATTTAGACAGTTTCAATAGTAAAGGTGTAAATCTAAACTTCGCTTGATTGCACACCCACCCACCCACCTCTCTGTAATCCGTCAGTTACATTATCCCGATCCCCTACCGGTTCAGTTTGCTGATCCCTTTATTTGGGGATTACTTTTGGGATTACATCGAATAATTTCTACTTCTTCGACTAACTACTAGGAGTAACTTTCTCAAGTTAAAACTAGAAGAGTTTATCTTTTAAATTGTCTAAACACGGCGTCACTCATATAGAGGTCAACCTGTGTGATCCAGGCACGTATTGAATACAGCCATTCTCCTCCGTCTGGTCGTCCAGTGCAATGTGGACCTGCATAGGAGATAATGCATGAATATAAAATGATTTGCACTGTTTATTACTCACTTATGCTTTTAAGATGTAGATCTCTTCATAGAAAAGCTATCATGTCTGGCACATTAAATTTTTTACATCTCCATGCATCATATCATAATGTAATATAAATATCATAGAATATTTTGGGGTATGTTGGAACAACACGTAGCTCTAGTATTTTCCATAATATTCCTGCAATGCTAAGTTTATTTTATTGTTTTTATTGCATAACATTTCATGAACTCATTTGAAAATTGTTCGGTCTGAATAAAAACCTTTACCATCTTTTGCCGTCAAAAGCTGCTCTGCGGGACCTCGAATTTCGTTGATTTTTTTTTACAAATAGTTTTATGTCACAACTGGTGTTTCTGTGTTTTAAAAAAGTCATATTTAATTTAGCAGTCTAAATTGATGAAATTGTCGCATTGGCATGATGGAAATTTATTTACGAGTGGAATATGACAGGGTGTAGAACGAACTTAAGTGTTTTGAAAAATGTATGTATAATACTCTTACCGTTATGTGCTTCATTGGCTTTGTTCTCACCCAGTAGGAATAGTCTTGGTGCCTTATAAATAAAATATATAGAGTCTCATACATGTATATTTCCCAACGTATAAAGGCTTCTTTAATATAGAAAATATTTCAATAAGTGCTATTATACAAATGTTCATATTTGATGAAATATTTATAGCTGAAATGAAGATTTTGAGTGATGGTATTAATTTTTATATGAAATGCTCAGATATAGTCAATAAATGTATCTTTTCACAGTATATCTTAACTATATATCTGATATATTGAAATCTGATCTATCAGTTAAAGGATAACGTTTGAACAATAGCAACCAAACAAGCCATACTATTTCATTGTTATCTGAGCTACGAACGAGACCCTCACCATGCCACCACGCCTCCATGCCTTGGAGGTTTCAAGAACAACTGGTCTGTCCATAGCCTCACGGCCGCCTCTGGGCAACTTTCGTCCACAAGTTGGGAAGCTGGAACCTAAAAGGCACAACGAGCACTACCCAAACCTCATTGTAACAAGTGTCCCATCAATATGATATAATATATACATAGGGCCTACTGGTTTTTTTTTAATATTAAAAAAATTATTCTATTTAAAAAAAGATACCTCAAACTCGACTCCCCCTGTCGAGACTATGAAAAAGATTATTNCATCAAAGCCAAGTTGAGATTTTTACCGATAATCTGCATACAACTGTTGACACAAAGGCCCATGGCAGCTCCCCTTTGTATCATGTTGTTTTCCGCAAGTTTTGCCGAGTCTACAGTAGTTTTCACATTCTTCACTATGATTTGTAAAATATGAAAGGGGTTAAAAGGACATGTTTTGTCAGCAGTTAAACAAATGTGTGCATTCTGATCAATGTATCTGTGTCCAATGTTACCAGGCCGCCAAGACCAAACAGCGCATCAAGGAGGAACAGATGCAGATCAAGGTGGTAGAAAGGACACAGCAGATTCAGGTACAGCAGCAGGAGATTGTCCGTAAAGAGCGTGAACTGGAAGCAACCATTCGTAAGCCTGCAGAAGCAGAGAAATACAGACTTGAGAGACTGGCTGAAGCAAACAAGTGAGTAATGGGACACATGCATGAAAATAGCCCCCCCCTCCTCCCTCCCCCATTCTCAATCAGGAGGTTAGGAGGGAAATTAAAAGAAAATTATTTAATTGGTGGATTAATTTGATCAGGAAAAAAGTCAGTTTTTTATTTATTTATGTATTAAGTTAAGAAAATGAAATTAAATTGGCAAAATTATATCAAAGTGAAATTAAATATGTCATTTTTACAGGACACAGGTAAATACTTTCATGTGACACAGTTAAATAATTTTGAATAATATCTTAACTTTTAGGAACCGGGTAATTCTGGAAGCCCAGGCCAATGCCGAAGCTGTTCAGGTAAAGATATTTCCAATATAGCCAAGGAAGAATTTGAAACTGGTCACTTTTAACCTCATGTCAATTCATGTTGTGTAATCATTTTACCGGGTGGCTATATTTAATGCCTTCAAATTCTGTTTCAGTTCTTACCAGAAAGAGAGCTATCTTATAATACTATTTATTACTGTCTTTGTGATTCAGGTGAAGGGAGAAGCTGAAGCTTATGCCATTGAAGCCAAGGCTAAGGCAGAAGCAGAACAGATGGCTAAGAAAGCAGATGCCTGGAAGGACTACCAGGATGCAGCTAAAGTGGACATGGTGTTGGAGACATTACCTAAGGTATTTTTGACTGTCTGCATTTGTCTGTGTGTGTGTGTGTGTGTGCGTGCGTGTGTGTGTGTGAAAGAGAGAGAGTTAGGTTATAGAAGAATAAAGAAGATGCTTGAGTAAATAAAGTAACTTTTTTCGACCTGTTGAAACTACAACTATCATGTCTTCAAAGTATTCTATATTAACCTTTCTGTAATAAACGAAGTTTGATTGTCAATGTTCTGTAATACTTCCACATGCATGCTTTCATGTAATTCACTGTTGAAAATATAGGTGGCAGCAGAAGTTGCTGCTCCTCTGGCCCAATGTAAGAAGGTCACCATGGTGTCCAGTGGCAAGGGTGACGTGGGTGCTTCTAAACTGACTGGAGAAGTACTGGACATAATGGAAAAACTACCTGGACTGGTCAAGCAGATGACCGGAGTGGACATTGCCAAGGTGGGTTGAAGACTTGTTTATGGTTCAGATGACAAGGGTGTATTTTAAGGCATCTGTATCCTGTTTCTTTGAGATCTACATTGCCCACGAAAGTGAATTGTCTGTCTGAGATGTTAGTCTGGTTTTATTAAAGTGAGATGCATTAAGTGGAAGTGCCATTTTGTGATTCTGTGTGTTGTCCACCCATTTATAACAAGTGCAGATAAATTTGTTTATTTCCATGTTTTCCCCAGGATGTCTATTAATTTCTGTTACCTATTACTTAACATTTGTAATATAGTCAACATATTGGTAGTACATTGGTAATGTGCAAAAATATTTCTAAAAATACCTGCACAAGGTGCATATGATCTGAAAGTGTTCACCAAGTAATTACAGTGCAGCAACATTAAAAAAATGTTAATTTATTCAGCTTTAATTTTGACATTTGTTTCGATTTCAGACCATGCACGTGAGGCAAGTGTAGATGGCACTTCAAGAGGAGACCAAACCACAACAGAATTCAATAGCCACTCCCTAGTCATAGACGTTCACATACATGGAATAGAATTTTGTGTGAAGTTGTCATGTAAATTAGTGTGTACTTCATTCATGTTTTGAATCTTCTCCCTTTTTACCCTTGCAGTTCCAGTATCGTATTATGTACATAATTTTCATGCTGGGGTGGTACACTGTATTTCTACTCTGAGATGAGACAAGTCTAATTGGGTTTTTATTAGATTTGAAAAAGACAGTTGATGTTGTCTTTGTGGAGATATTTTTTGCTGACTCTAATTTTTACTGTGCAAAAACCAGTCTTATGTTACTCAAGAATCAGATAAAGAGGAATACACTTTTGAAACAGAGGTAGCCTTAATGCCTGAAGACATCATCCTACATAATTTGATGGGGGACATGACCTCTGTAAACTGGAAGCAAGTTTTGAAATAGAAAAAGATCTTATGGATATGTTTTGTGTTGTATTACTCTGATTTGTTGAACTGCTACCTCTGTAGAACTTAGTGCCCAAAAGTACTTTTTTTTTACTATTAATGGCAGCATAACCATGCTTTATAACAATTTCATTTTGTCATCTTAATTTTTCTCTTTGTAAATGAATGTTTAGGATTGTCAGTGTAGTTAATTTTTACAGAGGAACCACTTATTGCTCCAGTTTGAATGATATTTTATCATGTTTTCATAATAACATTGAGTAATTTTTACATTTTTTATGTGTAGAGTCCTAGTGTGAAGTTTCCTTCACTTTTATTTTTGTAATAATTCCCTTGTAGTTCTAATTTACTTTTAACATCACAGATTTGTAAATAATTTCAACAACCTCCAGCTTTAATAAAATTTTGACAAGATGGAGACAGACCATAAGAAAGTATTACTCTCTCACTATGTTCAATACACGGCACTGTACAAACACGTGAATGGAGTTTATTTGAATCCACCATGAAAAGCAATATTTTTGCCATATTAGTTAATAAACAAGGTATATTTGAGTTCTCACAAACAATAAGTCTTTTTAAAACAGATATGCATGTCTCTGTGTAGATGCAATGTACACTGTTTGTTTCATGTGTCTATATTTTTCACCAAAATTGCCATTGAGACTCTTGGAGAGATGTTTGCGGGCTTGCTGTTTTCCTTACATTTCCTGGATGCCATGTCCTTGCTGAGAATAATACAGAATTGTACTTGTAAAGGATATGTTGCTTTCGTCTTGGAATTGTTACCATTGGAATTGATAAGTACAAGTAGTGCAAAAGTCGCATGAAATTTAATTGTCAGGAGTACTCAAATCGTCTTATTATGGCAAAGTGTTACGAGCGGTGTGATGTCTTTTTGTAATTTTTTTTTTTCAAATCTAATTTAGAAATACAAGGTGTGAACTTACATACTTAGATATTGACTATGAAATACCCTTCAGGGTACGAATATTATATAAGAAAGGACATTTCAAAGTTGATAGCTTTTAAGGTGAGAATGTATCAATGTAATTAACGTATTCTTGTTTATGATATTCACATGGAATAAACCTTCTGTAACTCCCCAAATTTGTTATGATATTTAATATTCAGACAGTGTTACCTACATATACACGTGTCAAACAAAGAGTGCATCTGATGCAAGAATTGCCTTTTATAACTATTATGAAAATTAGAATGTTTAAAAACGACACAATACAAGGGAAAATCGGCGCAGGTTGCGACAATCAATTACGAAAAATTAATTTAAAGATGCATACAAAGTCAATTTTTTGTCACAAAAACCAACCAAATGCCAGCATATAGTTTCAAGTAGTATAACTAAGAGAATTACCAAAAGGCATTGTTTAATTTTACCCGAAAATGATGTTTGAACGGATTTTTCTGCTGGCATTCTAAGCTGTATGTCAATGGGGCAGGAAAGTAGATCACGAAAGTAGGTTAAATTTACAACCATAAATTTCAGTTTATCCCTTGGCATGTCGAATTTATTTGAGTCATATAAGAATCTAGTAGAAGTGGTTTACATGTGTTACTGGGAATCCACGCTCCACCGATGCTCGGTTCGTATGTACCTGTAAGGACTTGAGAAAAAGTAATCGGAATTCTAAAAGCGGCAGTGAACAGAACTTACAAGTTTCAATCAATTGTGACGTCCCGATATGTCCGACAGGCCAGATATGTCCGACAAAAAAGAGTCAGATGCGTCCAACAGGCCAGATATGTCCGACAAAAAAGCCAGATGTGTCCGACAGGCCAGATATGTCCGACAAAAAAGACCTAGATGCGTCCGACAGGCCAGATATGTCCGACAAAAAAGAGTCAGATGCGTCCAACAGGCCAGATATGTCCGACAAAAAAGCCAGATGTGTCCGACAGGCCAGATATGTCCGACAAAAAAGAGCCAGTTGTGCCCGACATATCTGACCTGTCGGAAACATCTGGCTCTTTTTGTCGGACATATCTGGCCTTCTGTGGTCGTAGGAAATATCTGGCCTGTCGGACATATCGGGTCGTCCCATCAATTCAAATTTTTTAAATAACATTGAAACTAACACAACGAATCGTAGGGGTTATAAAATTTTCTTCAAGTGTAATGTATACATGTATAATAAACAATAATTTCTCGTTAAAATACTATACATCCCACTAACTACTTCATTAAGTTCTCAGTTTTATATTATTTGAAGTCTAAGACAAGATAACAAGATTTTGACACGTTATTTTAAGCGGTTAGCGCACAATCGCAAGCGATCACTAGTAAGCCTAGTGGTCACAGAACCTTGTGAAAAGACAATTTGCGTTTTACGGCATATGACCAGCTGATGGCGTTACGGTGGCCTTTTGGCATGTCTCAACAATCCAGTTTACTTGGCCCAGGCAGGGTCATATACGAGCGGAAAAAATTGACCTTCCATTTTGTGGCCCTACAAAAGAAATAAAATCCAATTTAGGATGTAGTTATCATAATCATGCGCCTTTGCCTGACGGATGGGGTGGCATTTTTAGTGACACGACGCTATAAGAAATCAGCAACTGAATTTGTACGCAGATGATGTGATAAACACTGTACCTTAGGTATTATTGTTTCTTGGGAGAGTTTATCGTCCAGATTTTCATCCGTGTCAGTGCCACTGTTTCCTCTCAGCATAGCTTTGTCCGTGTCACTGTACACACCATCGGCGAAATAATTTAATACCGCAGCACGCCGAGGCTTGTCTGTCCTCAAAGACACAAAGGTCATATGATAAGAATAATATAAGAAGGCGATGAGGCATAAACTTTTCAAAACAATTTTCAGCTTAGATATCTCGTCATTAAAATTGAGCATGTAGGCATGTGTCAACAAGTACCAGAAGGCGATTCCGAAAAGTTGGATTGGTTGAAATTATTAATCACGATTATTTCTATAAGTAAAATAGTAACAAATTAGAAGATAACATTTTAGCCTAAATTGTACCCATAATAACACTATTACATGGGCAGTGACTAAGGGACCATTCCCATACTTTATCGTACTAACTGTGGATCGATCTATCTTCGAGGGGATTCTCGCTAAATTGCAATCAGCTTAAGCGGCTTAGATGTCTTCCAAGCCTACTGAAGCTGCTGGGGGTAATTAATTATCGTTTAGCAGCTTCAATAGGCGTGCCAGACATCTAAGCCGCTTAAGCCGAAAGCAATTTAGCGAGAAACCCCTCGGAGATGGAACGATCTTGTTAGATCGATCTAGGAATGGGAACCCAGTCTAATTGAAATATTATGTGGAACAGTTACTATGGGGCATTGGAAACGACAAGCAACGGAGAATTGTTTGCAACATTGCAACGTTTTCTTTTCAAACACATTCAGCGATTTGTACATTACGCCTGCTTACTTGTTATCATAAGATCCATGAACCGTCATAGCATTATGGAAACTGGCATGTCCCTTCTTTAACAGCGCGGGCACTGGCTTAAAAGTAGCCTTCTCTTCATCAGTTAGGATGGACTGAAACGGTAAATGATGTTAGCGTTTCCCCACAAAACACAATCTTCATGAAAATTTTCAGCTTAGATATCTCGTCATTAAAATCATGTGTTAACTAAGCAGGCAACACTTGTTTAAGGATTGAACCCACCAAACAATAGTTGAAGTACATGTACTGTCACACTTAGCGTTTAGCAGTAACGTTTGAAAAAAAATCGCCCATACGTAGACAAACGAAATGAGGTTCGTTAGACTTCGTGTTCGTCTCGAATACGCAGGCAAACGTTGGTGCACGTTCGCATATGCGGATGGAGATAAAATAAGTCTTCAAAGATTTTTCACCTGCTGCTTTTATGTTTATTTTCATACGCTGGAAATACGGGTGATTTCATATGCTCAAAGTTGAGTGTATAATCGCTTTCAGGTACGACAGCTTTTCACGCTAGGTGTGGCAGAACCTTTAGATGGACCTAAGGTTTTTTAAACGGTATCTATAAACTAGGACTACTTTCATGAACGCGTAAGCTTGCGTATGTTAAAGAAATATGCATTTGGGAAGACAGGACTGATGAAGCACACACCGAGAGAGAGAGAGAGAGGCAAATCATCACTCTATCAAAATTTTTATGTAGACTTGAAATCCTCACTTTAATTCCCTCCATGTCCCTAAAACTGTGGTCCAACACCGGGAATGGGTCGCCATTCCTCGTCCACCTAGGTATATAAGTTACACATTTATTATTGATTCTATAGCATAGGATTTTCTTAAAATTTTGACTTGCATATTTTTATACTTCTATAATGAACTTGAATGATATTTAAAGAACGTGTGAATATATCAGATCATTGAATACATATCTATCGCTGAAATGGGAAGTGGGGAGGAAGGGTTTCAATATGTTGCAAGTGCTGTAGGTCTCAGGCCGTGTTTAGACAGTTTAATTTCACTAGGAAGCCGTCGCTTGATTGCATCCCCTCCCCCACCCACCGCTTTGTAATCCATCAGTTACCGTCTCCCGTCCTACCGATTCATTTTGCTGATCACTTTATTTGGGGATTACTTTTGGGATTACATCGAGTTATTTCTACTTCTTCGACTAACTATTAGGATTAGCTTTCTCAAGTTAAAACTAGAAGAGTTTTTTTATTTTAGATACCATTCCCAGAACCTATCGTACTAACTTTGGATCGATCTACCAGCAAGGGGATTCTCGCTAATTTGCTATCAATAGCGGCTTAGGCTCTATTCCCATAGATTTTAGTTCGATCTATCCCCGCGGGGAGTCTCACTAGATTACTTTCAGATAATCTGACTTAAATGTCCGTCCCGCCTACTACAAGCTTTAAGGGGGTAATTAACTTTCGTGTCCGCCCGGCTGACAGCTATTTAGCGTGAACCCCCAGGGAGTTAGGTCGATCTAAAGTAGGTCGATCTAATCTATGGAAATGGGGAGTAAGATGTCTCGCACGCCCAAGCAAGCTGTTAGAGGGTAATTAACTATCGCGTCTTCAGTAGGCGTGCCAGACATCTAAGCCGTTTAAGCTAAAAGCAATTTAGCAAGAAACCCCTTGGAGATGGGTCAATCCAGTTAGATCGATCTAGGCATGGGAACCCGGTCTAATTGCCTAAACAAGGCGTCACTCATATAGAAGTAAACCTGTGTGATCCAGGCACGTATTGAATACAGCCATTCTCCTCCGTCTGGTCGTCCAGTGCAACGTGGACCTGCATAGGAGATGATGCATGTATATAAAATGATTTGCATTGTTTATTACTCACTTGTGCTTTTAAGATGTACATCTCTTCATAGAAAAGCTTTCATGTCTGGCACTTAAAATTTCTTACATCTCCATGCATCATATCATAATGTAATATAAATATCATTGAATATTTTGGGGTAAGTTGGAACAACACGTAGCTCTACTGTTTTCCATGTAATATTCCTACAATGCTAAGTTTATTTTATCGTTTTTATTGCATAACATTTCATGAACTCAATTGAAAATTGTTCGGTGTGAATAAAATCCTTTACCATCTTTTGCCGCCAAAAGCTGCTTTGCGGGACCTCGAATTTCGATGATTTTTTTACAAATAGTGTTGATGTCACAACTGGTGTTTCTTGGAAATTAATTTACGAGTGGAATATGACAGGGTGTAGAACAAACTTTGGTGTTTTGAAAAATATATGCATAATACTCTTACCGTTATGTGCTTCATTGGCTTTGTTCTCACCCAGTAAGAATAGTCTTGGTGCCTTATAAATCAAACATCCTAATATAGAGTCTTATAATAGTATATTTCTTAAAGTATATAGCTTCTGTTAATACAGAAAATATCACAATAAGTGTTATTATACAAATGTTTATATTGGATGAAATACTTATAGTTGAAATTAGAATTTTGAGTGATGGTATTAATTTTTATATGAAATACTCAGATATGGTTGATAAATGTATCTTTTCACAGTACATCTGAACTATACTTCTGATATATTGAAATCTGATATATCAGTTAAAGGATAACGTATGAACAATAGCAACCAAACAAGCCATACTATTTCATTGCTGTCTGAGCTACGAACGAGACCCTCACCATGCCACCACGCCTCCGTGCCTTGACGGTTTCAAGAACAGCTGGTCTGTCCATAGCCTCACGGCTGCCTCTGAGCAACTTTCGTCCACAAGTTGGGAAGCTGGAACCTAAAAGGCCCAACAAGCACTACCCAAACCTCATTGTAACAAGTGTCCCTTCAAACGACTTGCTATATCTTAGGAAGTGTCCTCTATGATATAATATATACATAGGGCCTACTGGGTTTTTTAAAAATATTAAACAAATTATTCTATTTAAAAATAGATATCTCACACTCGACTACCCCTGTCGAGACAATGAAAAAGATTATTATTATTATTATTATTATTATTATTATTATTATTGCACTTACCACAACTTGAGGTAAAAACACCAGGTCGTGTAAAGCCTTGGTCAATCGCCAGTGGCCAAGCACGTGCATAACCACGTTGTTCGGGTCATTGCATTGGTTGGCATGGAACTCATACAGCATAGCGTGACCAGGATGACGGGCACGTGGATCCTGTATCAACAATTGATTTAAGCGTGTCCATTATTGCAGTTTTTTAAAGTTTATATAGATGCAGTTTTCTTTTGTAAATAAAGTGATTTTTATCATTAGTTTTTTTGGGTGTAATATCTATCTTTATGAAAGAAACTATCTTGTAGTCAACTTATTATAGTATATATATATATATATATATATATATATATATATATATATATATATATTATAGTATATTATAGTATTATAGTGGACGCCGTTGCGTTTTCTTTGGGGAGACTTTATTCAGTCGGTCTAGAAATGCAACGCTATCAACTTAAATAAATTTACGTTATAAATTGTACACTGTAAGTAAAACGTTCAGTTGTGCCCAAGTAAAAACGAAACACATACCTAAACTATCAAAACATGTCATAATACGCACCATGAAATATTTGAAGTCTTCTAAAATTTTGTCACATTGCTCTTCTGTAAGGAGCGGCACGTGTAGCAGGAATCCATCTCGCCGAAACTGGTCCACCTGGTCTTGGCTCCACTTGAATTTATTCCATTCATTTTTGTCCTGTTAAGTGAACTACATATACTTATACTCCGTTACTTTAATTCTGGGTAATGTTGTATGTAATGGAAATCATCCGAGAAAGCCTTAAAAGAGGCTGTGGGCACTACATGACCTCATAGGAGACTAATAAACGTTTTTCAATCCGCATGTTGTGGGGTAAACTTTGCAGCCATAAGGGTACGTACGTTAGTACAGGCTTAGACTCGTGTAAAAACCGAATAGCAGTCCCGACGAAAACTTCAAAGGTTCATGTAATAAAATTAGGACACTCGGCGAAAGGCAGTCGTCTAATTTGCAAGCGCAGCTGATGCCGTTTCGTATATGTCTGGGGTTTTAAGGCATATTTAAGCCATATTTTTCAGGTTAGTAATTACTCTGAAAATATAGGCGCAGAAATCACAACTAACATGTGTCATCGTAGACAATATATAAAGTGTTTTGTGAGAGATTTAAACGTATATTTGTGCCTTTAAAGCTTCCCGACAATCAAATTTGCAGCATGGCTCGGGCCCCATGGTACTGAATGAAAAGTTAAAGTGACCGATTTATCCAAGATGTGGTTTTCTTATACATTGGCTTTAATGTAATTAGCTCATACATGTACATTTAAGTAGGCTGTGGTTATTTAGTCAGAAATGGGTTCCCTATGGCCATTACCTTCACTGGAGGGAATAACTCTCCCGTCGGCTTGTGCACAGTGGACCAATCCAATATCCCAGGGGAAAATTCTCGGGGCTGCTGCGACATAGACGCGGACATGGCAGAAGATTGTTGCGGTTTTGCCGTCTTATCTTGGGCGCAAGATATATATAACTGTATTATCTAACCTAGTGGCCCAAATGTTATCCTGTATTATGCGTTCCTATAGTAGATTTCAAACTCAAGGTGTCGAGCAGAGATATCACCCATCGCTTAAAGGTACATACGAACCGAGCGTGGATTCCCAGTAACAAATATAAACCACTTCTACTAGTTTCTTATATGACTCAAATAAATTCGACATGCCAAGTAGTCTAAAGGGATAAACTGAATGGATCACTCGATCAGCCATAAAAGACTTAAATTTTTTGGTCAAAAAATTAACCTACTTTCGTTACCTACTTTTCTGCCCCATTGACATACAGAATGCTAGCAGAAAAATCCGTTCAAACGTCATTTTCGGGTAAAATTAAGCAATGCCTTTTGGCAATTCTCTTAGTAAAGAGAATTATACTACTTGAAACTATATGCTGGCGTTTGGTTGGATTTTGTGGCCAAAAATTCACTTCACATGCATCTCTAACGGGTTACGGGGCTCGGTATTTTAGGATTTTCCTGTCCGCTTGGATAATGCGAATTTAAATATTGTCATGCTATGAGATTATGCTAAAATATATCGAGGAGAATTTGCTAATTCGAGCTGGTGACCCAATTGCAGAGTTCTGGGGTGAAAACATTAATATCGCTTTCAAACAGATCTCCCTCCCTTGAACTACTTTTATAAAGGCCTACATTTAGGAAAGTAACCTTTTTTCCTATTTTCTTCTTTTTTATGAAATACCCATCTTGATTTGCAAAAAAAATAAAAAAATAAAAAAATAAATAAACACTTTTAGGGCACAAACTCCCTTTTTGTCGCTTTATTCATCACCCAAGTAGATTAAAGGGATAATAACTCTTCGTATGAGATCTATATTTTACAATCAAAACATCATGAACAACTCATAGAATTATAATATATTGCAGTTATAGCTATTATAAACTGCAGTTATAGCTATTATTCTGATATCTGAGCTTGTCTTTAGACCACATGACCTGCATTGATGGCTATACTCTGTTATAATCTCTTAAGAGATTATAACAAAAAAACAAACTTTTTAGAAAAAAACCAGGGACTAACTTTGAATGTAAAAATGGATTCATTAACCATTGGTAAGTATGGGAAAATTGTTGTTTACTCCAGGAAAATTCATTTTTTGGCCAAATCGAAGAGTTATTATCCCTTTAAATGCATAGGTCGCCAGGCGTAAATCGCCAATTTTGCTGTTTTGTAAATTAACTTGAGATAGCGAACTGTTTCCGACGTAACTTTGTCACTGTAAGTCTGTCTTGTCCGAGCTCGTCAGAAGCTTACCTTTTCTTTTTTTTAGAGTCTAGACAAGTACCGCAGGTGACGAAAAATGTTTATTGTAGCCATTACCACCCACTCACCCACACGCGCACACACACACGCACACACACACACACCACAACCACCTCCACCATTCATTTTTATCAGCTTTCGCCAAATGGGAAGTACATGTAGGTCCTCATCTGTCACGTCATAGGGGCACTCCGCCTTTATTGCTCCACATGTGGCAGTTCTTTTAATGTGTATTATAAATGGATGTTTGGAGGTGAGCTACACGCATCTAGCAATTTACGAGAAAATATATAGTGTATATTGTTTAAAGATTTACAACACATGCAAGAGACATGATACACTGCGAGAGATAGGAGCTACTATTAAAGAGATGAGCTTAAAACTGAAGGTAAGATTGCTCTCTCTCTCTCTCTCCTTGGACATAAAAACGAATAACGTTATTATGTCCAAGCTCTCTCTCTGCTGGGCCGCACTCCACTAGGAGGGGGAGGCAGTTGTCTCCTAAAAGGTTTTTGAAAACAAAGATCTTTATAAAGTGGTATGGTATGTTCCTTTTCCTTAAGTTAGCGTCTACCACAGGCAGTATCAATAAGCTGCTCAGCTGCCATGTATTGTAGGCCTGCAAGCAGTGTTAACAGCTGACCACCATAAAATTTGCTCTAACCCCCACCCCCACCCCCGGTTCGAGTTTTAAGTTAAGTTGACGTCGTCAAATTTGGTGGTTTAACTTGTTCCAAACTACTTGAATTACACCTTCTTAACGGTTTTTAAATACTTGAGCAAGTAATGATTTTATCAACTGCTTAAAAACTCAAATTTAATAGAGCTTAAATACCTTAAAGTGTAGTTATGGTTTTAATGTGACCATGAGTGTCTCTAATTTTGTTACAGGATCTAATAAAACTGACAAACCAACACTAAAGATGGATCTGGCAGATGATATATTTAGTGACGTGTTTCCAGAAATGGAAGTCGATTGCACATCCGCTTTTCTTCACAAGATACGCGAGGAAATGTGGTCCGCTTCAAAACTCTTTGAGGAGGCACTCCGATCTGGAATCGAATTGCCTTCGGACGAAGTCGTGGTTTTATATGAACTTGCGACTCTAGACATCTTTTCGGCAGATTTCGAACTCGGTTTAAGCAGGTATGAAGCTGCTCTCTTGAAGGCGAGAGAAGTTCAGAATCCCCATCTTGAATGCGCAGTGTTGTTTGGCTGTGGTCATTGCTACAATAGCCTCAAGCGCCACGCCGACGCGACACGCACCTTTCAAGCACTTGGCGACATAGCTAATGTCCTTGGAAACGATTTATTTCAGGTGGCCGCCCATTGCTGTTTGGCAAAAAACTGTTTCGATGAAAAATCGAACTGGGTAGATATTGCTGCGAAGCAAATTGATTTTGCAGAAATTCTAGTAAAGAATACATCAAATGACTTTAAAATCACGCCCTATCATGGCGTTATTATGTGCCCGTGGACGGCTGCACTTAGCAAAAGGCAGTACCGATCATGCGCTTCAAGCACAGCAGCTGGAAACAGCCAGGAAAAATTTAGATTTTGAAACTAATTCATTAATCCACTTGACCAACAATAATCGCGCGAAGCTATTCAGCTGTCAAGCAGAAATTTATTTTCTAATGTCATCGTATACCACTGCTCTTAAATTTGCGCAACAAGCCCTGGACGTAGCTGAGGGTTATTCTGCCGTTGGAGAGTCAAACGCCGTTTTGAGTTCTCTTCACTTCAAGCTCAACAGCCCAGAAAATGGTTTCAGATGTGGTGATGCCGCTCTGGCTAGTTTCAGAAGAGCGGATAACAACATGAGAGATTTCGAGGTTAGCTTGCAGATAGTAAACTCCTACTTAAGTTTCAAGGGCTTCGATCCCACACAAATGTTCCAACTAACAATGGACGAAGTTTCCAAATTGTCCGCAAAATATGTAATGCCAGCTACGACCTTCATCAAAACGTTGCAAATGAGACTTACAAGCGATGTTCACAAACTTGCTTTTGCAGAGCTCAGCAATGAACTGAGTGAGCTCATTCAACTCATGTTCGTAAACATCGATGATCTTAACACCGCCTTGGGTTGTGCTGAGAGTACGCGAACAATGTCTTTGATCAGTGGCATGGAGAGAAGGTTTAAGGATAATTCTTTGGATTTTGACATTCTTCAATTATTGGAGTCAAGCATCGCCTCTCCAGGAATGCTCAAAGTAGTCAGTTCTTGTTCTGACAATGCTGTATTTTTTTCTTTTATGAGAAACCGTTTCTTTGAAGGCTTTGTGGCCTGGATCTTTAAAGCCAATCAAGCAGTTGACTACCATAACTTTACAAAATACATCTCGACAAAAGTCATCCCTTGCTCTAACCAAGTTTTGGAAGATACTATAACGATGCTACAGAGAAATATTGCCACAATGAGTCGTGAAGCTGGGGTTGCAAGTAGGGATGCACGATTTGATGAGAGAAACGCTTTAAAAGAAGAGGACCTAGAAATCGGAGAGCGTTACCGAAGGGGTTCTGCAGACATCTTGCAAGAACTGTATAGGATTTTATTCTTACCTATAGAGAATGAATTGCCTGTCTTAAGATCGTATAGTAGCACCTCTGAAATTATCTATAAAAGACTTTTGATTATACCCAACGCACATCTTCTCCTTCTACCCTTCCCAGCTCTAATGAATGAAAAAGGACACCATTTGTGTGACTTCGTAAACGTGACCGTCGCCCCTTCTCTGAAACTCCTTGCCCACTTGAATGACCTTGCCCAGATGAACAGAGGTCCAAGCAGATTCCTGGTAATTGGTAACCCCCTAACTCCACCAGGGGCGAGGCTTTGCACGCTCCCTGGGGCCGAGAGGGAGGCGAGGAACGTCGCAGCGCTGTTTCCAGATACTGAGCTGCAAATTGGGAAGTCGGCGAGAAAGTACTATGTTATGGAAAAAATGGTGTCAGCAGAAGTCATCCATTTTGCATGCCATGGATCATGGTCAGAAAACTATTTGGCTCTCGCTTCAAATAACCCCAGTTATGATTCTCAGAACGTCACTCCAAGAAATGCTGACTACAGATTGACTGCTGACGAAGTTGCCCAATTGCCCCTCAGAGCCAGATTAGTTGTCCTGAGTGCTTGCAATAGCGGTAGAGGAAAGGTAACAGGAGAGGGTATCATAGGCCTAGCGCGGTCATTTATTGCAGCAGGTGCCCGTGCCGTGCTTGTTGCCCTTTGGCAGCTGCCAGATGACGCCACTGAGCTGATAATGACGACATTCTACTCCAAGTTTAAGGCTGGCGAGTCAGCGTCATCCGCTCTGAGATTGGCCATGGAAGACGGTCGTCAGAGGAACAGAAATCCATTCTACTGGGGAGCATTTTATCTTATAGGGGTTGATGTGCATTACAGTGGGGCAGTTTCAGAGAAAATTCAGATGTACATGTATGAGTCCGATTGAAATTACCAATGGACACTGATAGATATCTTTTGGCGTAAAAAAAAACTAGACACATGGAATTGTTTTTTTTTAATCAAGGGAATCTTGTGGTTTTCATTAACTTAAAGTGAATAAAATGAATGAATATATATATATATATATATATATATATATATATATATATATATATATCACTTCAAATAACCCCAGTTATGATTCTCATATAGATATATATATAAAGATGTAACTGTTTACTCATGTAGAAAAGTCTGCATACATGCTTTAAGGAGCTTGAGATCAATCTGTACATTTCGACAGGTTAGTAGCTGTAAAGTGTCTTATGCAAAAAAAAAAAATAAATAAATAAACAAATAAATAAAAATAATAATAAATAAATGGAACTACAGGTAGCACCGCAAGTAAAGTCATGATTTACACTAATATATCTAAGCTATTTTGCTTTTTTATGTTTACTATCTAGTTTTAGGTTGTTTTCAGGTTGTTTTGGAGTTGATATTGATATCTTTTTTGTATAAGTAGGTAACAGTCAAATTAATATTCGTCTCTTTCTTTAAACATAATGAAAAATTTACTAGTGAGAACATATTTGTGAATTATCATTTGGCAACAAATTAATTTACGGTTCTGTTTCCGTGACTTATTTTGTCAATTTAATATAGTCTGTTGCAAATAAAATGTTTACATGATATTCTATTTAGGTCTTTGTGAATGATATAGACGAAGTTTGTCTACAACTAGTAGTGCGTATTATATCTATTTAAAAGAAGTGTATCGGAGTTTTGGTAGCACAAATTGTGCAAAACAAAATTAAATAATAATTAAAACACCTTATATGGCAATGGTTCACAAAAACACACGCATATTTCAGTATCGCATGAATGATCGTCATCTCAGAATGCTACAAGGGCATTTAAAAGTGATTCTTCTTCCATCTTTCTACTTTTTAAAGGCAATCTAAAATTACCCATGAAAGCGGTGTCGGTCGGTGCTGCCCAATTAAAGATATAATAAATTCTGCAAGCAGAGAAGATTGTTATCCATGATATACGGTAAAACAAAATTGCCATATCAACAATTTAATGAGGAGTAATTCCATTTCTGAAAAATTTTACGTCTCGTCTTGCATACTTCCTACTTAACTGCTATACTGTAAAGGCCTACATGACAGTTATTCCAAATGTGCAGAGTCACGTTTAGATTCCACTATGGGGCTTTATTGACGATTTATTTTGTTTTTTTCTTTTGTGAAGGAAGAGTACAAGTGGCATCAAAAAATGTATGATATACAATAAAATGCTAAATGATTATTTAGAAACGTGTCGTACAAGGTAGTCAGCAAGAGACCTTCTAGGACGTTTCATACTAAAATGAGTTCATTGGCGAGAGGGCTCCTATTTCTTTCAACCATGAAAATAAGAAAATAAGAGCGCTTTAGGATTCAAATATCGCACCAGCTGGATTGATCCAACTCTTGCAAGGATTCTTGCTTCAGTGTATTCAGCTTACTAATCTGATACGCCTCCTTGATGGCTAGTGGATAATAAACTGTCTTGTGCGACGAAGAGTGACAGATTGCACTGAGGAAGAATCTTCCGCAGAGTTGGATCGATCCAGCTAGTACGATGGGCTTATCTGAACGTTCCCTAACGATTTATATTGTAGTCCCATGGCTACACAAAATCTTTGTTATCATATTGATAGAGTCTCTGAGAAGGAGAAAGCTTCGAAACCGAAAGTGATGGCGTTTTGATTCCCAAAACTCTATCTCATGCACGAAGTCGTGGAACAGATTTTTTTGTATAATTAATCTGTGACTTAAATATTTCGCTAATCGTTTAGCTTTAGATTTGTGATTACCCCTCGCCCCGTCTCAGTTAGTGAGTGATAGGCCTACGTACGTTATTTTCGTTTTTAGTTCGTGTAAAAAGCAGTATTTGAAGAGGATATAGGTATTTCATAAATAATGAAGGATGTAAAGTGTCGCCAGATGTAAAGTGTCGCCAGACAGACAGACAATATATCCCATAACGAATAAACGTTAAAAATTAGATTCCTGATATATAGAGTCCCGTATGCCCTCTTTGGCTATATTTCCACGCTTTGGAAATGGGATCGATATAGAACCTATCAAAGCATTTTATTTATTTTTTTTATCAATGGGGTCACAAGAAATCTGTTTCTTGCTTACACCGTAAAAAAGCAACAGAAACTGGATCACTGAACAATGAAGTTTGCTTTTACGTCATCAATGTACTCTGCTTCCTTCCTGTATGTCTGCGCTTAGCATAATGGGGTCAATGATATTGGATGTGAGATGGGCACGCATATACTAGAGTATACTGGTATATACTACCTAGGGAGTATTAATTTGTTCGCTACCTTTCGTTAGCACATATGTTTGTTCGGGCATTTAGACGTGGCCTTAGGTAACTGGCATTTTATATGTAAGTATTAAAAGATGATTTTTTTGTTTTCCATCCCAATACCGTACAGACTGCTCCCATTCATTAACATCCGGTTACTAATTTTAACTGCAAGCAGACTCAGAGCACAGTGCCTAGCCTTGCTTTGAGTCTTGCTTACGCCGTTTATCTGTCGTCACAGGAATGATATTTTGGTTCCTCCAGGAGGCGAGATGGAGTTCGTGCAGTGAAGTACCGTTGCGGTCAAGCTCTCTTGTGGCAGTTTCTATTTTTGTGTTAAAGATCGCGACCCTAGGTGTGCGTATACTAAGCACTAGGCCTATATTGAAATGGTCTTGTTATGCTATACTGTATATATGTTTTTTTTTTACTACAAAATAAAAAAAGCTACGCACAGAAACAGCGTGTATATCCGCAGTAGCTATCCATGTTTTGTCTGATTTTATTGTTGATAAATGGTCTTTCATATCCTAAAGACCCCATAAAACGCCATGTCTTGGGGATTTTTCTGAATTTTTCCACCTCCTGTGTTTGAAGAGTTTCTCGAGCGCGTGAGCCTAGTGAACTTTCGTATGTCAACTAAGATTTGGGAACAAGGAAGCTAGAATTTTTGATGCTTTGAAAAACACTCGTAGTCGGCTACAGCGTAATTGGCTTCTGTAGGTCGACTATGACTTAGTGTAGTCGACTAAGAATATAACATTCAATGTTGAACAGGGGCTAGTTCCGAGACTGACAGTAGGCTACAAAAATGCGAATGCTTGTCTTAAAACATCCAGTTACATCAACGGTGTTTGTGACAATATTGATAGGTCATTGAATCTGTTTTATGTTTGGGAGCCTGAAATAAAAGTTTTTATAAGTAAGTTTGCATTTACACCCTGAATGCCTGTTACATGTTTCAGCAACAGCATTGAAAAGAATTTAACATTCAGAGTTAGAAGTAAAAGCAACACTTTCTAGTATATCACTTTACTAAAGATGAAGCCAGCTTAGCTTAAATGACACAGTGTTTGCGTTGTCAAAGTATAATTGTTAAAACTTCAAAATTATTCATTGATTTAACTATTTAACCCATTGTCCTATTTTATTAAAAGCCTCATAAAAAGTCGTGTTTATCGTTATCCACATTTTGCAACTAATTATAATTAATTTTTTAGGTGGAAACACTGCACAAGGGATATACTTCCTCAAAACCCATAGATAAACATGGAACTGATGGAGGACCTGTTAAGCCATGTTTTCCAAGACATCGATGCAAATCATCTACATGAGCCGACAGTGCAGTTTTATGAAGAAGGATGTACGTCTACGATCTCAAGGAAATATGAGAGGCTTCTTCGTTCTTATTCCAATTCACCTATGTTAGAGAGTGTGTTGTTATGTAAACTCGCCCGGATTGATTTTATGGCGACGGAATACGAACTTAGCTTAGACAGGTTTGAATCAGCGCTTGACAAGGCAAGAGACCTAAAACATTCGCAATTGGAATGCTCCATTTTGTACGGTTTTGGCAACTGTTATCTTCAGCTAAAACGCTACAAAGACGCAATACAAAAGTTTCAAATAATGGGTGAGATAGCAAGTAGAAATGATGACCAGTTTTACCAGGCAGTTTCTCACTGTTCTTTGGCTAAAAGCTACGCGAGTCAAAACGAAACTGAGCTTGAAAAAGCTTCACACCAAATTGAACATTGCGTCAAAATACTCAAAGGTACCCCAAAGAACTCGGAACATTTTTCAACTATTTCTCTTCTTTGTGCACAAGTACGACTCCACGTTGCCAAATCTGCCATAAATCGCACCGCAGCTGAACGCCAACTTCATCTTGCAAAACAGGATTTGCTTCAATCGCAGATGGACAGTATCACTGTAGGAAAGCAGGCTGCTATATGGCTGTGTCTTGCACAGATTCATTTAGCCCTGTGTGACCATGTGACCGCTCTACAAAATGGCATCCAAGCGGCGGACAATGCGGTTTCAAACACAATGAAGGGAGACTGTTTTGCATTGTTGAGTATCATTTACTTCAGATTAGGATGTCGGGATTTGGGGTTTCGTTGTGCCGACCTGGCAGTGGAGATCTTCAAAATGCTTAACTATCAAATGAAAATGTTTGACGTCAATCTTAATATCTCCTACGCGTTTTTGGAATTCAAAGAATTTGACGTAACACATCGATACCAACTAGAAGCAGAAGATGTGTCGAAAATTACTGGATACTTGCAAGGCGCCACTGTTTTTGCAAAGTCTCTCCAGATTAGACTTTCCAGTGATAAACACAAGCTTGCCTTCTCTGAACAGAGCAGAGAGGCCAGTGAGATTCTTCAGATGATTCACATCAACAGGGATGAAGCCGACGAAGCCCTTTTTTGCGCTGAGAGCACCAGATCGAACTCCTTGATAAGTTGGATTGAAACCAGGTTTGAAGACGACCCTGCTAAGCGGCAAATTTTGAAGTTCTTTGCAGTAAGCGTTTCGACGCTTGGCATGATGAAAGTGATTGAAGAGGTCTGCGACACAGGGATTATGTATTCCTATATCTCCAACAGGCTTTTTAATGGATTTATTGTATGGATCTTTCATACTGGAGATAATGAAAAAAGGAACAACATACTAACCAAAGTCATCCCTTGCTCTTACCACAAACTTCAATCTACTATCAAGATGCTGCAAATGACCATTGCATCCAAGAGTCGTGAAATTGGAATTGTGGGCCGGGACGCATTCGTAAGAGATCGAAACGCCTTAAAAGAAGATGACATTGAGGGAGGAAGTGAACACAGTTTGCAAGGGTCGTGCGCCATTTTGCGAGAACTCTACACAATATTATTAGAACCCATTGAAAAGGAAGCTCGTATTATTCGAGAGGAACACAAGAGCAACGGAGCTATGTGGCGCCTTTTGATTATCCCGAACTCTGAATTATTTCTTGTCCCTTTCCCTGCTCTTGTGAACTCTTGGGGTCAATATCTATGCAGAATTTGGAAAGTTTCTGTTGTCTCTTCTCTTAAACTTCTGTCGCATCTTCGCGGTCTAGCATTAAAGGAGGACAGTCAGAAAACCTTTCTAGTGATAGGTAATCCTCTTACCCCTACAGGAGCAGGTCTTTGTTTCCTCCCTGGAGCAGAGAGGGAGGCGAAAAATGTCGCAGCGTTGTTTCCACACGCCAAATTGCTTGTTGGAAAGATGGCAAGAAAGAACATTGTCATGGAACAGATGAAAGATGCGCAAGTCATACACTTTGCGTGTCATGGATGTTGGACAGAAAGTTATTTGGCGTTGGCATCGAATTCAGACGATCTTGAAGAATGTGCGCAACCCAAACACTACAGACTGACCGCCGATGAAATAGCACATCTTACGCTAAAAGCCGGGCTAGTTGTACTGAGTGCATGCAATAGTGGCAGAGGCAGGGTAACGGGGGAAGGCATCGACGGTCTTGCGCGTGCGTTCTTCCTTGCTGGCGCACGCGCAGTACTTGTAGCTCTATGGCAGCTACCAGATGCCGCCACTGTGTCAATAATGACATCATTTTACTCTAACTTTAAATCAGGACAATCTGCGTCATCGGCGCTTCGCCAGGCCATGGAAGACTGCCAACAAGATTTCAAAGACCCATTTTACTGGGCAGCCTTTTACCTTATGGGTGACGACGTGTACTATAGTAATGCAGTCCCCGAATGGCTTTTATTAGGCCACTTCCCGTATTGATGACGACTTATTACAAAGACGTTGAAGGCACCAGTACAAATACATGTACATTCTGATGGTTTTGTGCACATAAACATTTTTGTACCGTAATTCTTTGATAGTGCAGAAGTTCTTAGCAAACTCTATGTAGCAACTTTAGTGTAGAGAATTCTTCGTTAAGTATTTATTTACTCCCGTGTGCTGTCAGGCTCTTGATTTTCTGTGTATGGCGTCACGTTCAGTGATGAGTTCCCTTTCGAAATGTTTGCGTTTGGAGAACCCTTTGCCAACGATTATGTTTGCTCCTACAGGCAACGCATGCGCAAAAAATGATATTTATTATTGAAAATAGCACACTTCAAGGTCACGATGAAAGTCATTGTAACTTTGCTGGCCACTAGTAAACTGAGACTGATATAGTGGTCCCTATGCACGGTGAAAAATATTGCTACATATGTATATGCACTTTAACATTGTGTGAGTTCTACTTTTTCTAACCATCTTGTCATTTCTATATGCCTTCAAGTATTTTATTAATTTTTCGTTAATTTTTTTCCATTTAATATATTGTTTGATTTACTGTGGCAGCTTGACCCCCCTCCCCCCCACCCCCGGACCGGCCTGGTGCCCTAATAACGTACGTGTTTAGTCTGCTTATTTACAAGATTCCCACTCTATACTCTGATGTTGTAAAACAGGCACAGAGACACAGCGCCAGGCTAAAACAACTGCCTTCCAGCAGACTGGTTAAGGTTTTTGTTACCCTTTGTTATCCAAATACAGGAAATTAGTATTTTCCTGCATCTCATTATTTAATAATACATCTATCTTTGTGCTGATTTAAAACAATTAAAAAAACATTGAAAATATAAAATATAGGCGTTAATATTTTTTTCGTTGCAATGTATAAGTATAGGCAACTCAAAGCTTCATTCATCACTTCAATACCTTTCTATTTTGAGGTGAGGTAGTATTCACATAGGGGTTTATCTTCATCCCTAAGAAAGATTTTGCCATGAAAATTGACGGATTGGACCATGAACGTGTGAGCTACCGGTGCCGTCGTTTTTGATATGGAGGAATCAGTCACTAATTGCAGATTTTCATTAAACGAAGGGATTATTTGGCTTTATCAACGATATGAACTAAGCCCTTTTAAGAAAAATCGCTGGCAGGGTTTTGGAGTAATAAATGGTGTCATTAAATTTGCGTTTGAACGGTGATCGTGGGTGCTCAGGAAAAAAGAGAAATTTGAAAAAAAAAAAACGGGTTTTCAGTTTTTTTTTTATTCTCAAAATCGCAATTATGACGTCACCCGTAAGATGACATAAAATATTAATATATAGTCACTGAACACTGAAGATTTATTTATTACCCAAAAGAATGTATGTAAGGCAGTAAATAAAATATTATTATCCTGTCAGGCCCTGTGCTGTCATGTTAAATTAGAGATAAGTTTAATCGGAATTTGTTGCCTTATTAGAGATTTTACAGAAAAAGGAATAAATGTGATGAAATAAAGTATCGTTCTATTTCATATAGCCCCTACATTGGTTGTGCCGTAATAATCAGGAGACCATTGCAAACACGAAAGCATCCACTTCAAGAGGACGCACAAACCAAAACAAAATTCCCTAAGTCTATTTCTGTGTAAATGACCTATTTTAGTGTGCAATGCAAACTTTTGCGGAAGTAGGTCAGTATTATGCGCTGCAGTCTCACAGAAGCCATGATTAGGTGTAGTAGGGGATCGTAGACGATTCACACTGAACGTGAACTCAAACCTTAACACGTCAACTTTAATTGAACGGTAGGTACACGAACAAAGTATCCAGACTCGCGGTGACAATACATGTGTAGTACTCCTGGTGGGTGGGTGAGAACGAATACTAGTAGGATTGTAAAGGGGTCAAACGCTACATTTTATAGTACAAATGTCTGACCGAAAGGTCCGAAAGGTGGACTCAACCCATCTCTAAAACTTTATGTTATGTCAGTTATGTCGGCCTATGGTGGTCGATCCAAGTAAAATTATCGGTCAGTTGTACCCAAATTATTAACATAGTAAAAAGGTTTGAGGGTATTCAAATATAAGTGTGAACCCCTGTACGAATGGCCCAGAATAAATGTCATGTATAGACATACAACTATGTCATACTACTCTGTCTTATCACCACAGGAAGAAAAATACTGCGCATGCGCTACACAGTCAAATTAAACAGACGGTAGCTGGTGGTTAGGAGGCTATAAATTTCCGGGACCACTATTTCACTGCCCAACTCCTAGCTGAATGCAACCAACTGGACTGAATGAAACGCCTCCTCCTGGCGTTAAAGGGATAATAACTCTTCGTTTTGGCCAAAAAATGAATTTTCCTGGAGTAAACAACAATTTTCCCATACTTACCAGTGGTTAATGAATCCATTTTTACATTCAAAGTTAGTCCTTTTTTTTTCTAGAAAGTTTGGTTTTTTGTTAAAATCTCTTAAGAGATTATAACAGAGTATACCTATCAATGGAGGTCACGTGGTCTGAAGACAAGCTCAGATATCAGAATAATAGCTATAACTGCTGTTTTTGTCGTAAAACAGAATATATTATATTTCTGTGAGTTATTCACAATGTTTTTATTGTGAAATATAGACGTCATACGAAGAGTTATTATCCCTTTAAGTAGAATACAGAAAATCAGGTGATTACACGAGTCCGTTGCCATTCAGTTTAGCTGATCGGACTCTGCGAGAGCCCCTGCAGAGTTGGGTCGATCTACGTAGACCGATGGTGTCTATGGGAATGGTGCCTTAGAATCACCTAGTCAAATAGAAGGATCTCAGAGGTGCGGTGTGCCCATTTTAAGTCCTGTAAAATACTGTAAAATTAAGTCCTGTAAAATGTTTAACACATCATCAACATATTTACCTGTTTCTATCTATTGCAGCTGCATGACATCAACATCGCTTTGAATAGGGCTTCTGCAAGAATGTCAAACAGGCTTGTCAATTCCGAAAAATTGAAGGTACTCGAGTTACTTCGAAATGATCCACAGAGCGAAGCTTTACTGTTGGAGGTCGCAAAATGGGACATGCTTCGTATTGGAGACAAATTGGGGTTTCCGGAGTATATAACACGATGTACCAATCTTAAGACATTATGTGTTTGGGTTCATGATTTTGGCGTCAGCATCCCTGAGACGGTTTTTGATTTGAATACTTTACAAGCACTCTTGATTTCTGCAGTGGACTTAACAGAGATCCCTCGTGAAATACGCCAACTTGCCGATCTGACAACACTATATATACAGAACGGTAAAATTACCAACATTTCAGATTTTATTGGTGATTTGGTTAATTTGAAAAGACTGTCATTCATGAAGAACAGAATAAACCTCGTTTCAATTGAATTGGGGAAGTTGAAACAATTAACATATCTCAGTCTTTCCGACAATAGTTTGGCTGATTTTCCTCTTTGTATATGTGAACTGTACAAGCTAAAGCACTTGGTGTTGACTGAAAATAAACTAAATATAATTCCGTCGGAAATAAGAAAATTGACAAACCTGGAAGGTCTCTTCGCCTCACATAATGAAATATCCGTCATTTCCCCTGACATTGGTAGCTTAACGAAACTCAAGTTTCTTGACCTTCGGTATAACCAGGTAGAAGTTGTACCGTTCGAAATTGGTTACCTTGATGCCCTTAAGCAATTCTGGATCACAAAAAATCCGACGAAGCAACCACCTCAAAATGTATGTTCCCAAGGCACGCAAGCTATCATGCGTTATTTAGAAGATCTCCGCCGCTCGGCAGCGATAGAGACCGCTAGACTTAAGATAAACGTTTTGGGCGAAACCTGCGCGGGAAAAAGTAGTTTTGTGCGATCTTTAGCAGCAGGAGAAACGCGCATGACGCCCATGGCGGATCGAACCCATGTGATCGATCAAGCGGCATGGCAACCAGAGAAAGGGATTCTGATAAGAATCAATGATTTTGGTGGTCATGACATCTACAAGTTAGCTCACAGTATATTCATGGACAAAAACTCACCCGTTTTCCTCGTCTTCGACATCAATGAAATAAATGAATCGAATAGCAATATCCTCCTTGGAACGTGGATTAACGTAGTCCTTTCTAAATCACCAAAAACGAAGATAATACTGATAGGTACGCAAGCCGACAGGTGCAACGACACCGCAATCCAGGTTAAATCTAAAGAAGTATCAGCTTATGTAGAAGATTTGCTTGTGAGGAGAGAGCTAAGCTTGAAATCGCAACTTGAAGCAGTGCGACAACGAATGGAAGAGGAACTGCCCTTTCAAGAGGCCTTTAAGGCGAAAAACGCTGTGATCAGTTCTAGTCTCAGCGAAACACCCGACATAGCTAGGTCCATCAAGGTCGTCAGTTCCAACTCGCTGAGTGGTTTCCAAGCGATACAAAAGTTGGCGGTATCCATGGCAAGAGAAAAAGCAGTCATCTTACCGGAATCATGGTTCATCGTTACTGATTACGTGGAGAGGGAGAAGGTTCGTAAGACCGAGCCTTACCTGAAGAAGAGCAAACTCATAATCTACCTAGACTCTCTGGAAAACGAGAGCATCGAAAAAAGAGAGGCAGTGAAAGAAGTCCTTCCTGAGATTCTCCGGTACCTTCACGGTTCTGGTGAAATAATTTGGTTTGAACAGAGCCCTGTGCTTAGTGAGGTAATATTCCACAGACATGAGATCGTCGCCGGTTTACTGAAAGCCGTTTTGAGACACGACATGGAGGACTTGTTGGTCCATAGCCGCCCAGAATTCGTCCACCAGTTTTCCAAGTTTGGTTTTGCCCTCGCCCGGGAGGATATTCTGCACCGGGGTATCATGACTTACAAGATGCTGCAATGCCTCTGGAAGCCTTTTAATATTGGAGACATCGGGGCCAATGCAGTCATCGAGCTGATGAAGAACTTCGAGATGTGCTACTCAGTGGTGGTCAACAAGGTGGAATACCTGCATATACCATGGCTGCTAAATGAAACAGCACCTTCTTCGATCTCTAACAGATGGCACCACCGTATAGAAGATCCAGACAACCAGGACCAACTGACTCTTGAACTGCACTTCGTCGACCATCCCCCGATAGGGTTCTACGAACAAGAAGCCGTCAGGCTGAACAAGTTCATAGAGCATAAAACTACCCGCGTTGACTGGAAAGACGGAGTATTTGTCGAGATGGACCAAAATACTCGCTGTTTGCTGCAAAGAAAGGCCAACCATGACAACGGTGACGTGATTACTTTCGCGCTGCGAGGTTCTCACCTTCGAGATCTTTGGAAGACTTTTTTGGAAGTCCATAGGGACATCAGGTAAATGAAATGCCTGAATGAAGCACACGACGACATAATTATTTATGTATGAGTTTGTAAATACAGAGATATGTTGGATAAACAGGATTTGTTGACGGTAATGTGGCTAGATGTTCATTTAATTTTGGTAATGATTTTCATGTGACCGAGCACAGTATGCATTAAGGGACCATTTCCAGATTATAGCTGTACTAACTGTGGATCGATCTATCTCCAAGGGAATTCTCTCTAAATTGCAATCAACTTAAGCGGCTTAGATGTATGTCACGCCTTCTAGAGCTGCTAGGTGGTAATACATGATCGTTTAGCAGCTTCAGTTGGCGTGTCAGACATCTAAGCCGCTTTAGCTGAAAGCAATTTAGAGAGAAGCTGCTTGGAGATGGATTGGTCCTTTTAGATCGATCTAGGTATGGGAGCACAGTCTAAGATCCCACCATATATCAAACTAAAATGCTAATTTATATTTTCAAATTAGACTCCTACTCATCGAGGAGTACCCCGGAGCTCAGTGCGACATGTTCTCGTTGTGTCCTCACTGCGTTAAGGAAGGTGTCCCAGATCCAACAAAGTTTCCGGCAGAGGTTCTGCGTGATCCGCCTTCTCAGGACATCACGAGTATCCCGTGTAGGCATTCCAAAACAGGGAGCGTGCCTGTATACCTCGTTTACCCGCAGAATGTATGTAAGTACTTTTGTTTAGCTTTTATGATGTCGTATGGGAATAAGTAATTTCGAACTTTTTTGGATTGTAATATGTTTTAGATTATAAGTATAGAGTTTTAACTTTTAGAGTCGTACATAGAAAAAATGATAATTTTAGCAAATAAAAAGTAAAATCGCAGACAAATATGCTTAACGATGAGAACAGCATGCTTTGAGAATAACCTTTCTTATTATTACTACAGTTATTGTGTATTCTATCATTTATTATCTGCTTATTCATTTTGTTTACTTATTCATTTAGTGCTTAACCATAATTTCTAATCGTAACCCCAGCCCCTAATGGTAACTCAAACCTGTAGTTATACCAACATCAACTCTTATTCTAGTTGTGAATAATGCTTATCAGTCAGAAAATCTCCTGAATTACTTTCCTATAACTTTAATTTAATTTAAATTAAATTTTCATTATTCAAATGATTTTTTTCTTCATCTTTAAGATCTTGGTCGCCGGATGACCATGCTTCACAAGAAGGCCTTAAGGTCAAACCGCTTGCAACTTGTGGACGACATATCTGACCCCTCCATGGAGGACATTGTGACGCATCTTGGCTCACACGCCATCCTAACCGTGAGAGAACAGGAGTACGTGCGACAAAAACCTATCAGAGATGAAAAAGTCGAGGCCCTGTTAGACGTGCTGAGAGGGAAATCGGATGATGCTTTCTTTGAATTCTGCAACGGCTTGGACAACTGTGGACTCCGGCATTTGACAATCGCTCTTAAAAATCACGCTTGAGGATATGAGGAACGACAAGCTTTAAATTGCACTCTTCATTTCGATATCCCAAATTAACTGGTGCATATGCAAGGTGGGCAGTGTTGCTGTTGAAAGTAATCAGACACATGTAGGGCAACAAAAAGCGAACTTCTAAGGTTACGCTGTATGGCTAAACTTTTTTCTTGCAAAGCTGTTTTTAATCAATGGCATTGGCTTTTCCTGTCCATGTAATGAAAAGAACATATACTGCAATGATTCCATTGTTATTTCACTTTTATTTTCCTTTTCCAAGTCTTGCTAACTGCATGTTGAATGGCCACAATATCTATCAAACTGAAGATAATAATATTAAGAAATGTTTTTATATTATTCGGCGTCGGCTAAGACTAGACTAGATCAGAAAACAGCTTACGGCAAATCCTTTAGGAGTCCAATATCTCTTTCTAATTTTGTCTTACCAAAGTTTCCTTATCACCTTTTACATTGTTAAATAAAAATGCGGTACGAAGTTACTTCAAATGTTGTTCAAAGGGTGCTTATATTACTCTGGTACCACAGAAGTTAATTTATTTAATATTAATGATGACAAATAACCATAAATAGTGTGACTGTACTTTATTAGCAAGGAATAAAACGAACTTATCCGTTTCTTCAGTTCTTTTAAATTATGTTTACCAAATATGTCTTCAGCGGTATCAAGTATATATATAAGAAAACCAACTTCGATCAGTCAAAAAAGTTTTAGGTAGAACCTCTGAATTTATCGGAGTACAACTTAAATACAGATTTCCTGGCAATGTAGGCAAATGAAATGAAAACGCCCTGCAATGAGCTCAATATGACAAAGGGGTAACCAACTTCTGGGATATTTAAGTACGCATTGAAGTATCCAAACAACCACGTGCATCCCATGAGTGTTGTCATACGAACATAAACACCAAGCAAGTTTCTGTCTTTTGGACTTCCTAATCTAGCGGATAACTTGGTGGTTGTTCGGTGTATGCTACAGGCAGTTACGATGAAAAGCACTGTGTTAAGTAAGCATATGATTCCCACGGGTACAGCAAACCCAAACAAAATGCCAAATGGATTCCCGATCCAGCATGCTTCACCTTGGCCATAGCCGACTTTGAACGAAACGCATTCGCAGTTGTCGAGGGCCGCCATGGTCAAGACGGCCAACAGCGAAAACCCCCAGCCATACAGTACATAGACACGATAACGCCTTCTCTTCTGAGCGTCGGTTGTGATTGTTGTGGCAGACCGGAAAGTAAAGAGGAGATCCCAAGTCATGCAGTTCATCCAGCAAAATGTGGCCAGCCAAAAATAATGATTGAACATTGCGGTTACTTTGCAAACGATGCTGTTGATCGTCACGTACCCGGCAATTATGAACAGAAGCTGGGCAAAGAATAATGAGGCAACCAAGTTCATCAGTGATTTGCCTGGGACAGTACGGAGTTCTGGGAATATGCAATATGTTATAAACGTTATGATGAGGCATATCAGTGACAGAACACTACAAACAAAGGTCAAAACAGCCTGAATGTGATAATGAATAGAATGTTGAACGTGGTGGCGGTGTCTTTCGGTGGATGTATCCCAAGCACTCCGGCATAAATACAAGGTACCATTCGCAATGTTGTAGGTATCCCTTCCGAATGCCTTGTCCTCGGAAATAATGAACGCGTGGTCTGAGGTGTTCGACAGAATGTATTCGTCGGGGCTGAATAGTATAAAAGATGTGCAGTTTAAAGGAAGTATGGCGCTGCAAACACTAACTGTTGATATAATTGCCGGCAATGGTCGTGATGAACTACTGATGCCAAGGGGATGCTTTCCCGACTGGAGTTCAATATCAGTGTCATTAATGTTTCTACGCCATGAAAGCAAAATATTCACTGCCGTGTCTTTAAAACTTTCGTCGGCGACAGTGCCGTTTGCGTTGAAGAAGGTTTGGTTCCAAAGGGCCATAAGTTTGCCTTCCTCGGCAGTTAGATTGTCACTAAACAATGAACAACAGGAATCGGGTATTTCTGGCCTATTCATTAATTGTACAGAGTAGATCAACTCACTCAAGAAGGATTCGCTAATACTGCCGGACATGCTTTTATTTACTGATTCATATATCTGTGGAAGAGTAGCTGTTTCATTATAAATCAACAGCTCCGCCACTGTTAATGACGGTGCAGTTTCATTTTGATTGACAGAGCATCGTTCCCATGGAATGGGCCGGTAACTCAAAACGTCGGGAATCATAGTCCCTACGAAAATATGACAATTTTCCTGACAGTCGGTTTGCGTACGGTTCCGAAGTGCATACCCAGAAATGTCGTTCTGAGAGGGTATTTTGCACGTGCATGTAAGGTATAGATAGCTCGTGTTAGTGACGTTTTTTATGGACGGGGGCGAGGCTGCACACATTTCAAGTGAACACGGCTTAGGCGCAGGGTTCCATTGTTCCTTGCACTCATGCTCCAGGGAGAGTTCCACCTGATCTGGTCGGCATTTGTATTTCCACATTTCATGCGGAGCACCTGTCAGAGATCTGAAGGAAAACAATACCGACAGACTTATCAAGCCATGTAGAGTCTCTCGATGAAAGTCTCTTAATAGGATCCGAGAAAGGCAGCTGATGGAATTGAAAGGAAATCCATTGCAGAGGGCACAGAAAGAATTTTTAAAGAATGTTGTACGCCATCGATTTGAAACATAAACAGCATTCCTGTACAATTGGCAGTATTTTGCCCATTGAACCGCTCTTTCGTCATTCCCTCTTACACGTTCGCAGATGCTGATTACGTTTTCCGGGTTATGAAAAGGCTGGGTGGTGCATTTACGGGCAGTGACATTCTGCAGTACATTTGGAAGTTTACTTTTATCTGGACTGGTGTAGGTGATCCAGCAACCTTGACTGCGGTACGCGTAATCAAATAAAAACATATATCCAAATGGTCGTATACGGCTCAGGACAGAAGAGCCGGCTTTGGAACAACTGACATTAACTTCCCACAGATATATGTCTTTTTGTGTCAAACCGTGGCAAAGTGCGCAATGGATGTTTTTGTACAATAGCCCATCTGTCCCATACGCCGGCGGGGAGAACACTTGGTCATTGTCTTCGGCACAGAGTGTATTCAGTTCTCGTTGGGTATAAGCTGGGCATCTTGCGACCGCCTTGTAGAAACTATTCTCATCTGCAAACTTAACACATTTGATGAACATATACTTATCAATTAGCAGCGATTCGTTTTGAATTTCAAGCTTAAATCTTGTGTATTGGAATTCATACTCAGGATGTGCATCCTCTGCATTTATTCTGTTGATCCCAGTGGTCTGTTGAGTGGTAAACACTGACATAGGCGGAGGCTGTGGTGCTCTGGCTGACAGTGAGCGTGACGAAACATTGGGAAACAAGGTTGTAACGCTCTGGCTTTGTTCATTTAACGGAAGTGGGTTGGAAGTAAGATTGATTTGCTTATCTTGGTTACTTCTTCCTTGATAACTTTGTTTCTCAGTAATATCGGTGTCTGCCAGAGCGGGACTCGCTCCTGTAATATTACTCCCATACACGTTGTCTTGCTCATAAAGCATTGGTTCTGTCACACTCCTTACAGAAGTTGTCTCACTCCTGCGCAAGGCTCTTGACGTAGAAACATATGGAGTCTCTCCCCCGCGAATGTTGCGGATATTGCTTTGGCGGGAAAGAGTATCTAAGTCACTTTCTTCATCCTCGTTTTCTTCTGTCACAGACTGACTGCTGCAGTAGTCGTAATAGTCTACACAACAGTCCCCATAGGAAACACATGTTTTGTCGCAAGCGCATGCGCTGATACCGGCGCCTCTCCCACAGTAATCCTCACAGGAAGAAGAAAAAGCCTTCGGAAAGCTAATACCACAGATAAGGGCGTCTTCGTTAAAAAGAAGAGTATGGAACCCGTCTCTTTCTGAAAATATCAAATGGGAATTGGCGTCATGAAGTTCATACTTTGGGTTCAGAGCAACCTGGTTAAAATGTCTAAATCATTAATGTGAGTCAGAAAGTAGCATACATAGTGTATGTAAAGTATTAAAATGGAAACTCCATGTCTCTAAAATAAGCCAAAATCGTGGAAAAGCAAAAAGAACACGAGAAATTGTAATTATTCCCTTAAACAGTGTAATTCGATTTGAACTGAGCAGGTTAACTTACTTATAAAATTCATTACGTTATATTTCACATTACACATGTGCAAATGAATAGCAATATTTATCTAATACTATAAAGTTGTTTTGATAATTAACGTAAAAAGAAAGGTTTTATTTTGTAAAAAAAAAAAAATAATAATAATAATAACCACGTTGGCTATTCGATATAATTATCCGCCTAATTCTGATATTGTACCTGAGTAAATATCTCAAAAAAGAAACCGTGAGGCAATAATCAGTCAATTTCCTAATTAAGCTTTTCCTCTGTTTTTGAACTATTAACTCCCGAATTTACTTGCTGCTGCCATTTTTTAAAATCATTATGAAACTGCATTTACTGTTGTGCCTGCATATGCATATATATAAAAAACAGATAATGCGGTCGGGGAACGCTGCACCTACACGATTTTTCTAGGTCAATTCGTAAATTGTACATTGAATTGTTTTTTAAAAATGACGAACTTTAAATGTGCCACAAATGCAAATTATGAACGAAATTGGTCGATTGTTTAATATTTTGCCATCCAAATTTCTGATCAGATCCCAAGACCAGGTGACAACATTTATACCCTTACCTTCTTCACCAGATACATGTAATGGCACCAAAATACGGAAAAGCAAGCCGCAAAGAAAAATCAAGTGCATCGTTCTTTTCGCAAAAGAATTTCAGCTTATTTAACTCACCGAAGAAATGGTGTGATTTATATACCCACAAAGCAGCTATTTCATCACAACTCTCCAAATGCACCCCGAGTTTCAGAGACCATTGGACCCTCACGCCATTATTTTCATCACGCCTCTTCTGTTTCCAGTAAATGACAGAGGCCTACATTATTATTCCTCTGACAGTCAGAGTACTGCAATTATGACATAACAGATATCTCTTACATGTTAACTAACATAAATCATGTGCGCTGGCTTTGTGACATGAACACCGACACAACACTTAGCTGTGCTTTATTAATCGAATCATCATTTTGATAACTTGGTTTTACACGTTTGATAGGACGTGTGTTTCACACTGATTAATTTTACGCCACTTTTAACGACGTTCGTCTGGCGTAACTAGATCTGGTCAGTCTTTATCTCGCGTTCACAAGCTGGACGTCCTAGTCACTGGACAAACACTATTATGCAATACAAATGCGATTCCAACGTTTTAATTAAATGCTTTTCTGTCTCTTTTTCAATTGAGTCTCATTGATACCCAGGGTCACTTTCGAGGGTGCGCGGGGGGGGGGGGGGGGCGGCGAGGGGCGTCCCGGTCCCCGCAATCCAGCCGGTTCCTAAAATTTTCCGCACGGAAGCTTGTCAAATAACTATCAAATACAGCTTTGATAGTTTTTTTTTCATTTCTTTTTGCTCTACTCACACGCAAACAGGTTTAACTTACAGGTACATGCAGACAAGAGAACAAAAATTAATCTTAGTTAACAATTGTTTTCAGTAATGCACATGCCTTTATTGATACATGCGTGCAAAAGAAATAAAATCTTTCGATTGCGATATTCCTCTACATAATCTACGTGTATATCACAATAAAACTCCCAACTGACTTTTTCAAAAACTCCAAGATTTCTCCTTATACACTGTAACAAATGGGGGAAGAAAAGAGCCAAATTTGAAAAATATTTTGAATATCGTCATATTCTTTACGTGGATAGTTCCATATATATCTACATGAATACAGAAAAGATCAAAATGACTTTTAAAATCTTAACATTCCATACATATACATGTACAGTACTAGTAGGCCTTTGTTACCACATGTATTTGTACATATGCACAGGATGACTGCAAATCAAGGAAAACTTGACTAAACCTCATTTTACCGTTACAGTAACAGTTTGCTATGTAATAGCAGCCAAAGATAAAATAGCACACCAATAGCATGAACTGGCCACAGGGTGGGCTTAGCCTAGTAGTATGTAACAAAATTATTGAATTGTTTACTATTTTAGATGCCCCTTATACCAGGGGTAAATATCACAAAACATAGCTAAACATTCATTTACAAACATCAGTGTCTCGTGTCTGAATTAACTGTATACTAACTGCATGTTAATCATACAAGAAAAAAAATTATGGATACACAATCATCACTTTCACATCATGTCCACAATGTTGCCAAGTGAACACATTCAAGAGACACCCACCCATACATTTCATTATTAAGTCCATCTGCTGCAGAGATATTAGATCATGGGACATAACCAAAACAGAATGTTTTCCAAATTAAACTTACAATAACATGTATCAAATCCTCTTTGTTTGTTTGTTTTGGACAGTATTTTGAATATCATAATATTAATTCCACACCATTTTGTTAAAATCTGCCAAAACAATCTTCCATGTGGAGAATCCATTCTTACTTTCATTCTGACTAGACTGAACAACTCAACTATCAACAGTTAAACAATACTTATAAAGTACACTGTTATTCTGCAGTAAAGCTACACTGTACATAATATACTATGCAGAAATACAAGTGGGAAATCCATGCCAATAACATTTTACCTCAAATTCCCACTGAATACAATAGGCTAGATACAGACTCATATTAGAGAAACCACACTGTAAGGGTCAGTTTCTTTGATATATGTAGGTACTGTGGGAGTAAGTTTGGAGTGGGACTCCAACAATAAGGCCAGCATATGACATCAAAATAAACTTGCAATGACAAAGGTATCCTCCTGTGGTCATTCAAATATCAAACCACTTTTCTTCACATTCACACAAAAGATTTTCCAGTGCCAGAGATGTGAAATCTGGCTTAACCCATATGTAAACATGTAGGATTTAATAACTCTTGCCAATGTGTAGTGGGCAGGTATTTACACGGATGACACACAAGAACAATTTAACTGGTCATACAGTGATATTTTGACTGCATTCTTAGTGCCATATTTTGAAAAAAAAAACTTTAGCCCAAGGACTGCCCTGTACATTAAGACAAAATCTTTTCCCACTTTGACCTATTTAAATTAAATCAATGCTCATCCAATCAATTAAACAATATTGCACATGTTTCATAAAAAGAAAGGCAAGGCTAAATAATGGCTCAGACCAAAACTTACTTTCTGTAAATTAGAAAATTTTAGGTCTTAGAGTTTAGACTACTTTTCAAATTCTTTTGTGGTTTAAAATAGAGGTGTGTGAATGTAAGATATGTTGGTTTAAATTTGGATATAATAATGACTCGAGATAATTAGTTTCTAGAATTATCCAATGCACTATAATACACATATGAAGGAAAGGTGTACAAAAAAGTCTTGTTGTACTCTAGTAATACAATCTTTACATACTACGACATGAGAAAAAACCAACTGTCTTTATCACGACTCTGTCATCAAGGGAGCATTTTACTTGATAGCAATCAACTCTATATCCAAGAAATAGCATAACGCAGCAAGCTAACAGTCAGGCCATTTTTGTATGGAAAAAAGTCGTCTCTGGACACAATATCCTTAGGTACTCAAAGGTTCCACTTTTTTCAGGAAAAGAACCTTCCTTGTGAAATTGCAGGCTACAGGCCTGTACAGTGTCCTGCTATTCCAGCCACAGTTAGAGTTACTGATTTCTTCATTTTGTTTCCCAACATCTTTTGGTTAGGGACAAGCTGAACCATCTTGACTTTCAGTTTTCATCCACAGCTGCAAACTATTTCATCTTGCTAGAACGTAGTCTGATTATCACACTTTAAGTCAATTTTAAGCAAAACTGAACTGAAATGACCAATTTCAAAGCCATGGCTACTATTAATGATTCCTCAAGCCAAGGCTGAAATCTAAAAAACCAAGCCAGGCGTCCATGTAGCATCAATCCATGTCTCCATCAGAAGAGACGGCCTCCTCCCCAGCACATTCCATGTCCTGGCCATGCCTGTTCCTGAAGATACAAGACAGAATTAAAAATGTAATACCAGTAAATCATTATGAATATTGGTGAATCTAAAATGTAAGAATCTTGGATTTTATTACTAGGAGGGGGATAGCAAGGCGTGTTTGCATTAATTGCTCCTGCAAACTATTTATTGGGAGGGGGGATATATGTCTTAAACTACCTACATACTACATATTATGATATATTACATTTGTATAATGTTATTTATAACTGGAACTCAGTCCTGGTATACAATTTTTTTTCCAATTTTCAAAAATTCATTTCGGCAGTGTAAATAAATCTTTAAAACTTGTATTGCCACAAAACTGTATTTTAACTGAACTTTTCTAAAGTGAGCACTTCATTTAAGTCTCTTCAGTTGCAGAAATGGAAATATGCTCAACCCATACAATATTTTTTTCTATTTTGCTTTATTTCTGAAAGCTTAGCTTAAGAAAATTCACATAAATGAGACTTACTTATACTCCTTACACCTGGCTATGACATCAGAAGCCAGCGACTTAATACTGTCATAAAGCTGAGGAGTGGACATCAAACTTTCCAACAACTCAAGACCTTTCTCCTTCTCAACAAGTTTGCAATACTTTTCAGCTGAAAAAGAATCCAGATAAAATGTAACGTTTAATCATGTTGCTATACAGGAATGAAATAACTTCTAAACACTTTCTAATTCATTCACAATGCAGGTCAGTACAAGCCCAGAGTTTCAGAGACCCCTAGAAACTCGACTCTCTAGTCTCGACATCCTCAGCAGTTTTCAGGAATGTATGAAACTTATCATGGTGTTCATCAATCAGATTAACTTTTATATATAGCTGATACCAATGACACTTCACTGCAATAGTATCTTACAACATCTCGCACTATTTCTGCTGTCATGAATTTTGACCACAAAAAGTAGTCTAAAGAAATCACCTGACTGAAATACAGCTTGTCAGCACATCGTGTATTTATATTATTCGGTGAACTTTTTTCAAAGTTCATCCTACATCAATGTTAACTAAATTGTAAAAGTTACTCACGATAAACTTTAGTGAGGTTGGCCAAAGCCCAGACGGCCCAGTGCATTGCCTCTGGAGTATGCCGGCACTTCAAAAGGCGTAGAATTGGCTCAAAAGATCTGAAATAGTACAAAGTTTTCACTTACACTCTGAAGATTATAACTCCACAATTACTTCTTAAAAATTGAGTTTAAGTGTAGCTTAATTACTCTGAGCAATGCCCACATTTGAAGCTTATACATTTCATTATTTAAGCTCAATTTAAAACATATAAGGTGAATAGGTTATTCATTTAGTGCCTAACTTTTAAAAACAGTAAGTAACTGTACCTCTATAACATATTTCAGTGTTTTATCATTTAAATTCATATGTTTTTCTTTTTTCTTTTTCATTTACCACTTAGGTATTTTCTTCCTCATCCACTGTGTGAAAACATTTTTAAAATATTCACATACCAACAAAGAAAAGTTTTAATGAAAATTTGATGCATGCTTATTTTTGAGAATCCTGTTGTCAATTCATCTAAATCNCCCCCCCCCCCCAGCTGTTCTATGAATCTAACTTATATGAATATTTTTCAACATGAATGTTCACGGATCTAATGATACCAGTTTCATATTTACACATCCCTGTCATTTCTTAATAAACTGAGCTTGGTCCCCTCACCTATAATTGATATTCCTGTTTGTGTTCAGGTCCCACCTCTGAATGGCATTCACCATGGCTCGGAGCACCTGGCTACGAGGAAGATCCGTCAAGGTCCACGCCTCCGCTCCATCTGATGCCATGTGTGACAGTACGCCCGCTGCGTTGTAACTTACTTCAATACCATCACTGTCAGAATCCAGGAGAGCTCTGAAACAAATCAAATATGGTTGATCTTTCCAATGGATAATCTTGATTTCTGTAGTTTAGAAAATATGCCAGCATACAATAAAAAAAAACATCAGTTATTTATACAAAAGTACATTTACACAAACATACAAAATATATTGTACTTGTAAATCAAGAAACATTTAGACTAATATCTTTAGCATTTGCTAGTAAGTCATGTCTGTATAAATTTATAGCATAAAACTGCTCCCCAAGTTCAAAATAAAAATGTGAAATCCTAGTGGGAGCCTTTGAAATGCCAAATACACTGTTCCATTTTTTCCTTCAATATTTCAAGTTGAATCTTTGTTTCGTACTTACTTGAACACTGACACATATTCATACTGCATCAGTTTTGGGCGAAGATAGTGAACTTCAGCAACATTACCCTGAAGATACAATTAAAACATACTAACTTTACTTCACTTTATTTAATCAAATTAACCATCATACAAATAAATTCACTATTTAATTTCCAAATTCATCGTTAACAATAATACAGCAGTTGATACACTTTCACAAAAAACTGGAATATAAAAACTGAAATAACTATTTAAATATTTAATTATGTAAAGTATATATGTGCCTCCCACATATAGATTGAATCCACTGAAATCTACTGTACTGACTATTAATCCCATCATGTTTCTCAGGAGACCAGATTTGTCCGGAAATGTCTGCAAAGATAAAAAGTTCAGAAACATTGAAAATTAAGTGTTTAAGACAAAAAGAATGCACACACATACACAAGAAATCAGTGACAAGTTCTTTATACTCATAATTTTCAATTAATGTCTAGATAATAAAAACAATAATAAGAATAAAAGTATGACTATTTTATTGTTTAATACAATTCCAATAAAATGATTCTTCATATTTTTCTTCTCTCAACTGCTGGGCAACAAAAAATACAGTCAGAAATTTAAGAATAGTTCAGGAAATCCATCCATTTCTCATAAAAAGGAAAGTCATCAATGGGCAAAGAATGCTTCAAGGCATACTCTACTATGAGTGACATAGCCAATTTGTTTACATGAATCTAAAGACACTGAAGATAAAGATATTTCTGACAGACCAAAGACACTTAATTATCATACACTTCCCTTACCCTCAAACACTCCAAAAATAGATTCATGCCATCTTTCTCGATGAAACGCTCACTGTTCTTCGCTGTCTCGTCTGTGACATTCCACATCATGCTCCACGAGATCTCCATCACCTCGTCGCAGACTTTGCGTCGCAGTCTGTCCCGTATGATGTCAAGCATGGTCTGCAACCACAGAGTAATAAAATTAATGTTAGATATTTGATTCTCATTTGCTGACTTCTAGAGTTGGGAATTCTCACATACTGACTGAAATTATATATATTATATACTAGCTATCCAGACACAGACACAGCTTTGTGGAATCTTTGCCTAAAACAAATAAACTTTAAGAAATAATTTTAAATATTCATAGAGCAACTCTTATTTTTCTTTTCAATTTTGATTTATATATAAATTGACACAGATCTAGTTCTTGGTTGGTTTTTCTTTTAACTTCATCTATTTCAGTTTAATAATAAAAAGAAAAAGAAAACCTTACTGTCTATAAAAGCAGTAAAAGTGTGTTTAAATAGTAAAACATTCCAATAATTTTCTTAACTGTGTATCTAAACTTAAAAAATGGTTTATCTTAGACATTAAGTTATATTCTCTTCAGCAAAGGCCCTTGTTAAAAGTTTGCAACAAGTTCTTCATCATAATATTGCAAGTCTTTAAATGGAGTCTAAAAAGGATGTCAAATTTTTCTTTATATAATATTTCTATACATATATTTTTATAGATAATCAAACTACAGACATACAGTGATGGCTCCCAAGTCTCCCACCAACAGCTTCTCCTTGTCGTCCACTTTGCAGGCCAGACTGTTCAGAAGGTAAATACTGATCCTCTGGATGAACTCCTCGTGGTCACCCACTATGTTCAGAAGCAGGTTGACCACTCTCTCGTAGGCAAACACCTAAAGAGGCATTTGTCAAATGATATTAGTGAATAAATAAATGAGAATGATATACAATGTGGTAGGGAGATGGATTGTCTGTGGACACCAAGGGAAGGGGGAATGCTTTTTTTTTTTTTTTTTTTTTTTTTT